TCATTTCTATGGGAAAAATGCTAACGTTAACTATGACAACCTTAACCCCCACCCAGCCCTAACCATAACCATAAGTAACCAAACAAAATACAAGCGTTTTTGCATTTTTAGTTTTTTAATTGCAGTCACAGATTTTTATTAAATTGAGTTTTCCTTTATGCGGACCAGGAAACTGGTCCCCATAAGGGTAAAAAAAACAGGTATTCATCACGTTGTGGGGACATTGTGTTCCCATAAGGTAAGGTATACCCGCTCGCATACGCATACACACACACACACACACACACACACACACACACACAGCCATAGCCTGCCTGCAAGGGTTACTGGGCTCTGACTGACACACACTCCAGCGTAACACTTTCAAATGTTACTGGCCATCAGGGTTTAGGGTCAAAGAGCTTGTTTCCAAATGGACTATGATAGGATGCTTACTCACCTTACTGGGCATCATGGGAAAAAATGGTATGATGACCAGTTAATGATTCCACCAGACATGGTGTTTCGGGTCGCGGGGCCACAGGAAGGCAGACCCCAGTGTCAGTCCCATATGCGGGACGGTGGCCCTGAGCTTGGACTCTAACCCTGGGCCTCGGTTTCTCACAGGCATGAGCCCATGGGCGACTGGGTCCCTGGGGCAGGAGCTTGTGCGTCACTCCACTGGGCGACTTTGGAAAAGTATGTGAAATGTGGGACTCAAATCCACAAAGGCTGCTTACTTTCTAAGAAAGGAGAGGTATTATTATTCATTATTATTCATTATAATACTGTAAGTATAGGAAATGTTGAAGGAGAAAAGAATCAAGGGTTTGTGCCAACATAATGGGGAAGTGACCCTAACTTGTTACCAACAAGCAGAGCTGCTGGGATCTCTGTGCTCACAAACACACACACAAAAAATCCTGAGTAATTTATTGCGATTCTTTTTTTCTCACAGGGATACTTACGGTCCATTATTGTAAACATTGCAGCTTGTGCCGTAAAACAACACGTTTTTTCCCCCTAAAACCATTCTTTAAAAAAACCTAAGGAGAATGTTAATATCCTGTCTGGGAAACATTCAGCTTACTTAATTCCTGAGAGTAATAAATGTTTGTGAGCTTGAACAAGCTGCTTCCTGGTGAGTGATTTGGGGCACTATGCTGTCTTCTCACAGTTCTGAGACACTTTTCACTTTTTAAACAACATAAGAATATAAGAATTTTACAAGCAAGAGGAAGCCATTCGGCCCATCAAGCTCATCTGGGGAGAACTTAACTAATAGCTCAGAGTTGTTAAAATCTCATCTAGCTCTGTTTTAAAGGAACCCAGGGTTTTAGCTTCCACTACACTAGCAGGAAGACTATTCCATACGCTAACTACACGCTGTGTAAAGAAGTGTTTTCTCAAATTCAGTTTAAAATGTTCTGCTAATTTCCACTTATGGTCACAAGTTCTTTTGAATTTGTTTGCTGTCCAGCTCTACAAGAGATCTATCACACCACACAGCTGAGGTACTGTCCTAAATTAACACACCTGTTACAGAAAATCAGGCCCTTCTGTGGCATCTCAGTGTTAGAGTCGGCTATGCTGAAGCTAAGATCTGCAGGCTGGCAGGCCTGCCAAGAGACTCTGCCCTGGGGCTGCTGCATGCAGGCCTCCGGACACCAGGAGATACACCCCAAACCCCACTGTTCCCCCCTGGCCTTGTGACAAACACAGCCCCCCCCCCCCCCCCCACCCGTCGGTAATGAATGGAGACGCAGGGGTCGGGTTACTGATCCTGCCCACCTACCTTCTGTGCGTCCTTCTCAAAGCGACAGCCCACACCTGACCTGGGATAATCGAATCGGGCCGAATGACGGGAGCGATGGGGGAAACAAGGACTCAGGATCCCATTACGGTGATGAATTTCAGGCTCGGAATCTGCAGCTGAGCGTGGATGGCTGTATGCGGACGTTCCCAGGGGTCTGTCGCTCTCCTGCGGCCAGGAACTGTGTTTAAAACGAGAGTCTTGGAGGTTCTCGGAGGACCGAAAAAGGGAGCAGAAAGTCCGACCTGCATGCAGGACACCGGGACACTGTGCTTTTAGTAAAGCCCTCGTTATCTTCACAGGGGGCCCCAGGCAAAACTTTACTGATGGGGTGGGGGGGGGCTGTCGTTGATCGTTTCACTTCCTTCACGATACAGAAGATTCGAGGGCCCTGTTCTGCCCACTCTGCCTGTTTGTCAGCCAGTTCCTGCTTTAGCCACTTTATAGGAAGCTTTTGTGTATCTTTCATCAGTAGGCACTGACTGTTAGCACCCGATAATCCAGCCCACGATGCATTTCTGCTCCCTTTCTAGGTCATACGCTTCTGGACATGGTCCTGAGCACCTCTGAATGCATAGGATTCCCCTTCTGTTTCTCTCCACCTGGCTCTGCCCAAACCTCCATACTCTGGTTTCGGAGTCACGCCCTGTGACTTTTTACAGCTGACTGATTTGGGAGATTCCCACCGCGCCTGAGTGCCACTGTCCTTGTGGAAGATGCCCCTGTGACACCGGAGTGGTGCTGACCCGGCACCTTCTCGCTCTCTGTGAACCCGTTTGACCTGCTGAAGGCTCAGTCCTTCTGTGAATTCCTCTGCTTCGTCTTTTTTGTGCCTTGCATCACCATTTTGAATAAAGTTCAAAGTTATTCTCTGGTTTCTGGACAGAAATCGGCGTTAACATCACCAGACCAAAGACAAGGAAGAACAGGAATGTAGCATTGGACAGAGTGTCCTTCGAGTTTTCAGCCTAACTCTGATTACTCAACACCGTCTTTATAAAAGCATGTCTGAACACTTTTCCAGTTTTTTTCCGCCAAGACCGAAAAAAAAAACAGTGAGTCTGAACAAACAGGACTTCAGATGTACATAATGTATTTCTTACACTCTAATACATAACAGGGACATACCTGGTCCCTGAGGAATGCTGCTGTATCAATTGAAAACAGACTAATTTCAACTGTTATTCTATGAACCAACAAGCCTCCAGGAATAAGAGATAAATAATAAGTGTAACATTCTCCAGGCATGAGGAATTCATTACTTCTTGGACGCTAATAGGATGGCAGGGTCTCTGGCAGACTGAAGCTGGCCCTCGTAGACACCGGGTTCCAGCTGAAGACCCCTCAGCTGGGCCAGGCGACCCGAAGGTCAGGGGACTGCCCGGCGCCGGTATGGTGTGAGGACGGGACCCGTTTCCATAACTCAGCATCACTTTTGCTCTCCGGGGGACTGAAGCCCAGCCAGGATTCGCACATTATTTATGGCATCTTAAATATTTCTTAGCACTAACAAAGAAACTGCCGGTGAGTATTTGTTAGCGGGGGACTGGGGGATTGGGAGGGGGCAGGGGTGATGTATGTTAAGTGTATTGTGGGTAAATTCCCTCTGTGCACACTCTGTGCCGGAGTGCATGCGGCAGTGAGGTTCTTCTCTTTCAGGATGTACTGTTTCAGGCTCGGCAGGAAAACACCAGCAGAACCACGAGGAAAAAAACATGGCAAAAAAAAGAGCGAAGTTTCTGCACAGCATGTAAAAAGTGTGTTATTGTTTTTGGCCTTCTGGGAGTCCTCCGGCACTTCTGCTGTCCGCTTTCCGCTTGCAGCTGCCCGTCTCCACCCCTGAAACCGGTCACATCTGGCTGCGTAACCGCGACCCCCCCCACCCTAATCTCCACCTTTCTACATGCCAGATACAAGCAGCCAGTGACCTTGAACGATAAACTGAGCTTACATGCTTCGAAGCAGACTTCATCTTGTCAGGAATTCACAGTGCACCTCCTCGCACCCCCCACCCCACCCCCTACCTGAAACGCAACATTCAAGCGTCGGGGGGGGGGGGAGCTTTAAATGGGCGTCTGAGTATTACATGACAGCAGTTATCAGACTAGTCCTGAATAATCCTGCTTCCACGACAGGCTGAACTCCCTCACATCGGGCGCGGCCAGCAAAGCTGATGCAGGGGCGCCGTTGAGAGCTAAGTGTCCACAACTTTCCAGGAAAGGGAGTCTGCACACACCCCCCTTAGCGCCTCTGGGCAGAACCCCATAGCATGATAATCAGAAACTGAAATGTTGCACAAAGCCTTGGCTTCCTTCCCTCTGGTCACGTGAAGCTCATCAGTGCCGCTGGGATCCCTGCGGTCCCCAGGCTGTGCTCTGCTGCTCTTCACGGCTGCTGTCCAGGCAGCATTTGAGCAGAAGGCTAACGGCCGCTAACTGGCCGTTCTCAGGAAAAGTGCACGCCTGACACATTCCCCGTACAGCGCCCCCGTCCCCCGGGCGTATGATAAACACTTCAGCGTTTACGGACCATTCCCTTCCTCCACGGTGATTTGTGTGGTTTTTGTTGGCCATGAAGTTTTTGACCCCTGAGAACGTGGATCTGAGGGAAGAAAAGGGAAGAGAGCAACCCAACCCACACAGGGCCGACACCCACAGAGCAGCTGTGGCCACTGGAAAGCCACGCCCACATATTAGCCACACCCACCAAGAAAACACGCCTACATGTTAGCCCCGCCCACTGAGAAGTCACGCCCACAACATCCACTCCCTTGATCTGGAGAAACAACAAACAAGAGGACCAGCAGGCAGAACCCCGGAGGCCAATGTTTACACCCAGACCCCAGTGGGACCATGTCACGTGCGGACAGCTGTCAGTAAATATGACACATGGGGGCAACATGGGGAGGGTGGATCAGGGGCAGTTTCCAGACAAGAACAAACACAAACAACCGCCTGCTTGCGTCTGATGGATCAGAAAACCTGAACAAACTGCTACTTTATGTTCGTGCCTTTTGGAGCTGATGCTGGCGGTCATGTGACCGGGCACGGCTGTGTAATGTCACCTCCAGCTGGGGGGTGTCCCCAAGGTCTCCACAGCCCACACAGCCCACACAGCCATGTACCTAGACCCAGGTTCACCATCACGCGCTAGATGGCTTGTTTATGTTTGCCTCAGAGAAAGAAAACTAAACCAGGTTTTACCTCACAGGTGGCCTCTGGGGAGATTTTATTTACACTGAAGCATACAATAGCTTACTGGTTATTAGTGATTATATAATATAAAATTCAGTAACATATTTTGTTCACAGTAGTAACATTGCAACAAAAGCAGGTCACAGAGAGACATTATACACTGTGGCAGCAGCTCAGTCTGAGACGTACAGCAAGTCCCAGGACAGCAGGTGCTCCATAAACCCAGACTTCCAAGGTCCTAAGTTATAACATTAGGCATCAATAAAAGTTCAACAAAGTCTCCTAACAAAAAATACTATTAGAGCACGAGGTGAAAGCCGTGTGGAAAAGCAGGAAGCTCTACCCTGTCCTGTGCAGATGTTTGCAGGCAGAGGATCGGGGAATAGGAAGAGGGAAGGGTGAGGCTCAGGCAGCTTACGGTGTCCAGCAGCCGGTCCAGCCATCCAAAAGGTCCTCCCCAACGATGGCTACCTGCTGCCCCTAGAGGCTGGCATGTGCCCTGCATCAGCATGCATGTTTATTGGAGAAAAAGTAACAGGGCTTCTCCTCCAAGACTGCAGGAATAGACTCAAAGTGGCACTTTTGCTTGGAATGGGGCTTCGCCATGGTCCATGCTCCGTGCAGTTCCCTGTCCTCATTTTGGGAGTGACCTTGGAGACCTTTCTCAATGATCTTCTGCATGGCTTAACGGGGAGACAGAAGCTGGAGAAAGTGTCCCTCCAGTTCAGATACCGGGATATGACATCACACGTCATAAGCAAAGCAAAGCTTTTACACCAGAGGTTTAAAAAAGATCCTGTTAGATCGTGGCATGATAGCCCTCACAGGAGACAGCGAGCAATTACCAACCAAAAGACCGTAATAACATAACAACATATCCTGGCATATCTCACAAAATGAGAAGCTGATGATGACAGGGACTGCAGGAGACTCTGTGCTCATTGGTTAGCGGCAAGAGACCCTGTGCTCATTGGTTAGCGACAGGAGACCCTGTGCTCATTGGTTAGCGACAGGAGACCCTGTGCTCATTGATTAGAGTCTTCGGCTGGTTTTCTTCACTCTTTGGCCCCTTCGGATTTGTCCTTCTGTCACTTCAAAGGGTCAGAGTTCACCGTTAGCGATTGTGTAGAGTCCAGCCAGCAGTTCAGCTTCTACAGTGTGTGCTTTTCTGCCGCTTGCAGAGACAGGGGCTCTGTTTTCGCATTAAAACACGTCTCCATCTGGATGCCCTGCAAAAAAATAAAAATAAAACACGCATCAGCTCATAAGCTGCTTTCAGTCTTTTTTTTAAGTATTAGTATTAAGCTACTGAAATGTTAGGGCTGCCCTGTGTATTATAAGATTACGATGTAGATACTGGCAGTATAACTCTGCTGAAATTCCTGGACATATTTCTTACTTACCTGCCGCAGATTACAGAGATTACAGAGGCAAATGTAACCTCTGAACTCTGTACTTGCTCAGTATAAAGCATAATCGGACAGGATCAATTTTAGCCCAGACGAGGTCACATCTCTCATCCATAACTGCAGATTGATTTAGCAACGAAGGACAGGGAAGTCGTTTTACCCAGTTTGTGCAAATCAATCCAGAGAGGGTAAGTGTCACTACGCTCATAAACACGTCCAGCAATCAGTCACCGAATATCAACGTCTGTTCCAGCGCTGAACAGCAACCAAAACCCCGTCAACATGAACACAGTGGTGCTGCCTCAAAGCTACATAACATTACCGTTCATCTTAGGATACCAACGACCACAATGCCATCCTTTGGAGAAAAAATTACAGCTTTAACACATGGACATGGAGACTGAAGTGGACTGACATGGGACATACAGGAGGTGTGATCTTTGGATGCGACACCCAAAGGAATGCAGGACCTACAGATATGTGTCAACCTGTATCTGAACTAGACACCTCAACAATTTATAACTGTCAGGTGGCTATGCGGTCCGTTTGCATTCCTTTCTAGGAGTATTTATGAGATGTATGTGTTTATAACTCAAACGAGTTTGTCTCTATGAAACCCCCTGTGTCTCCATGAAAAGTGCTGTGTCTCAGCTGGATGCCTTCAGCTGCCCTGAGTTAACACTCCAGAAAGCACCACTGCAAAACACTCTATTCTAGATCCAGTGATTGCAGATCCAGTGATTGCCCGAGTGGCATGAGGGTCATTGTTCAGATCAAAGTATAGCAAGGAGCAAGGAATGTACAGAGGAACATCCCCTATCCTCCCTCTCGTGTCCTTCAAGACAACTCTGTATACGGCAAGAAAGAATCAAAACACAAGGCTGGTGATGGGCAGAGTAGAGCGGTAGCATTTTCAAACGATAACCTCTTAAGATAACATCTCCTGATTTTGACACAAAAGACCATCAGCCATGAAGATTAAGCAGACATTCATGCAGGTAGGTATAACTACAGCTTTTTAGGTTAACACTTCACTGCTGGGTATCTATTATCCATCATCCTACCACTACCCAATCACATTCATATCATCCGACCACTAGCCAATCACATTCATCATCTTCAGTGCTTTACTGTGAGGCTGGACAACTGGCTTTACTATAGTATTGTCAACAAGGTACCTGGGAATTCTGATGATGTCCATTGAATCCGTTGCTGTTCAGGAGCACCAAGGAGTTGTTGGCGTTGGCCCTTTGCAGATGGGGTCTCCCTGGGTTGTTGTGCTGAACCCCAGCTATCTTGTGCACGCAGAGGACCTTGAGGAAGCTCTGCTTAAAGTTGTCAGAGAGGAAGCCGTACAGCACGGGGTTGGCGCAGCTGTTGACGTAGGTCAGGATCACGGTGAAGAAGTATAGACCCGCTGTGAAACTGTTCCCAGGCAGAATGATAACAAGGTTGACCATGTTGGTGACGTAGAAGGGCATCCAGCAGAGCAGAAACACCAGCACCATGATCACTACCATGCGTGTCACCTTGCGTTCGGACCTGCGTCTGCTGGTCAGCCCGGCGCGAGCCCCCACAGACCTGACCTTAATGATGATGAGGAGGTAGCAAAAGCTGATGACCAGCAGGGGGCCAAGGAAGCCCAGGATGGCTGTGTAGAGGATGAATGCAGTTGACCACAAATTGTGAGGCTCTGGCCAGCTTATATTACAGGTGTTGAAGTCTTCCTGGACATCAGCGTAGATGATAACAGGAAGTACCACAAAGATGGACAGCAGCCACACCAAGCCGTTGATAACCTTAGCTATCTGTGGGCGTCGCCAATTTGCACTCCTGATGGGGTGAACCACCGCAAGGTAGCGGTCAATGCTCATCACTGTCAGAGAGAAGATGCCCGTAAACTGGTTGATGGAGTCAGTTGTCATGACCACGCGGCACAGGAAAGACCCGAAGGGCCAGTAGGACAGAACATTCTGGGTGGTGAGGAAAGGCAGTCCAAGGATGTAGAGCTCGTCAGCCACCGAGAGGTTGAGGATGTACAAGTTGGTGACGGTTTTCATCTTGGCATAGCGCAGGACGACGTAGATGGCTAGCATATTCCCCAGCAAGCCAACGACAAACACAGTCAGCGAGATCATTGACACTACGATGTTACTCTCTCCCTGAAAGCTAGTGTAATTACCCAGTGAGTTATTCCCCATAGAGCCAGCAGAATGGTTGAAGCCACCAGTGATAGAGGGAGGCTCCACTGATGTCATCTTCGCTATGGATCTGTTGGTCATGGGGTCTGGCTTGGAAGTAGGATGTCCGAGGATTTGGGGGGCAGAGTTTGTGAGAGAAAACACAGCTGAAAATGCAAATAGAATATTCTTTAGATAGCAGTATCACAAAGCAATACAACACAAGGCTCTATAACATACTCAGATAATCCAGGAAAAACTTTTTTAAAGCATACAAACCTAGAAGACATATTTGAATGAAACTGCAGCATACACATTCATTGACAAAATCACTTTTTATCTCTAGGTGTTTAAAGGAGACCAGACACAGATAAAACATGCAGATCACGTTGCTCTTTCCATTGTTTTCCAAACCAATTTTGGTTTATGACAAAAGAGGCTGAAATAATCATAGAGAAATGCCACCTATGATAGGTCTTATTAAACTGATTGTCATAAACTGGTACGGGAGACGGAATTCTTCTTGGCGAGATCACAGGAGGCAGCATCGCGTTAACGAGAGTCTGCTGAAGTGGGCAGATTTGTGTTTGTCTCCGGTCGCTCGCGTTTGCAGCTGTTTGAACTTTGGCTTTTAGACAACGCCGGGATCAGAGCGTCTGGTCAGCACAACTGGGTTCACTGGGAGCAGAAAAATAACAGGAATGGGTCAGTGGTGGGAATAAGCACAGCCCTGTGCCGCACAATGTTTCTATGCTGTAATGTTTTCTGGTACCACTGGAGTTTCCATTTGTGGCCTGGTGTTAATACGGAAAGGTATGCTCCAATCAGGGGTGCTAACACCGATCCAGCAAGAATATTGATTCAGATTTAATCACTGCACTTTTACCTTCTTTGGCCTGTTCTTGCAGAACAACTAACCAATCTTTCCACATCTCATGTTTTCCAAATCCACTTTGGTCCCCTTGACTGGTTTACAAACAGCTCAAAATAGCAGAGATGTAAACCAACGACAGCAGCACTGCATTTTATGACACGTCCCACTCATTCCTCATAATGTCAGGAGCTCATGCATTATTCATGTTCTTAATATCTTTTCCTAAAGGGTACGACTGCAGAGCAGATAAAGATCCTCAAACACAATGTATCTTAATTTTACAGTTTGATGAGCACAAAATCACATTTCTTATGTAAAGCATTTACTAAGGACAGCTCTGCGGAAAGCACTTAAACTTCGAGTGCCCCGTTTATCACGCAGTGGAATTTTGAGGCAATGGGACCCCCCCTCCCCCATATGTAATTTAACACTCAAACACTGGAGAAGACAATCCCCCCCCAACTCCATCCCCATATTTAGGAATGTTTAACTTATTAAGGCCCCTACTTTAACTAAAAGCAGGACAGGAGAGCACAGGCCAGGACGGGCCTCGGAGGGAGCCTATGGAGGGAGAAGCGCCATGCTGCAGGCCTTCGCTAACATCTGCTCCTGTTTGACGGCCCAGTTTCTGTGCTGCCTTTTTCCAGGGAAAAGACCAAAACATGAGGCTGTACATACCACAGCACCCATGGGCATTCAGTTATGGATATATGCAAGAGAGAGACTCCCTGCACCACTTACAAGGCAGCCAGAGAGACTTTAACTGCATTCACTGTGTATTTAATGTATAACGTTTCATTTCCATGTTTGTTTGCTGAATAATTGATATATCTGCATTATTTATACAATTCTGCAATGCTTTCTTTAGCTTTTAATTGCAATACAACGATTTTGAACTTCAATTTCAAAATGTTCTTACTCTATAAAGAACTATTGAACCACAACACAAAAACACCAAGTTGTTAATCTGAAACTATTTTCCTGGCAGCCCATGTGAGCATTAACCCTTGGTGTGCCGAACTCCCAGATTTTAATGCAGCGTGAAGGTCAGTTCTTTCTTGCAAGTCTATTGATGATAGCAGACTATTAGACTTATCATAAACAATGATACTGCACCGGTACTGACAAACGCGGCATTAGGCTTAAATTAAATTCGATGAAAGCATAAAAAGCATTTTAAAAAACAAACTCTTTAAAGCTTTACTAAAGGATTTCAGTTTCACAGATCCGTAGAGTGTAAAGTATATCCTGACCTTCGGCCAAAACAGTCAGCAAACGAGGCCCTCTCTTTTCTGTTGCAAAAATAATTTTCACTGAACCGAGACTCAAAACAAGCGGATGGCGTCATCGCCTTTATTGTGAGTAGACATGAATGCGCAGAAACTGTTTGAAAACAAAGTGTTTAACTTGTGTTAAACTCAGACCGCAGGGCGAAAGCATTTCCATTAAAAAGTGAAATGTTTAACATTTTTATATTTTAAAGTGTGTGTGTGTGTGTGTGTGTGTGTGTGTGTGGGGGGGGTCAATTAATTATTTAAAAAAACGTTTTGTTAAAGCACCGAGCACCGGAGCGCTCCGTTAGAAAGAAGTTTGGATTTGACCAGAGATGGACACAAAGACATCAAAAAATATCTAGTTACAAATTATAAATACTCAACAAATGTAACAAAATAAAATACAAAATACTGGTGCAAGGAAATGTACTTAATTTAATTAAAATACAAGTGATTTGTAATTTGAAAATAAAAAATACATGTAGCCTATAGTAGTAACGTACTCGAAGAATACGTGAAAGGTTAGCAATGTGTTATATTTTCAAAATAAACAGCTTGCCCAAGCTTTAAATAAAATAAAACTTTTATGATTTACATGTATTATAATATGAAGTGAAATTGACTTTTGTAACATGAGTAACGTAATAGGAGTTCAACAGGCTGCGATTGCAGAAGCGAATTGAGGTTGGGCTGATATCGCGATATGAAACGTCAAGTTCACTGGTTGGTTTTCCCTTTTACACAGACTCGGCGCTATAAAAACTCCTACGTTTAGCAGACATAAATTAACTTTGTCCTTAGGAACCAAAGTAGCTAACCGGATTTATCGCTAATGAAGGCTTCCATATATGACAAGCCACAAGATGCCGCTGCCTAAGCAAACCTGTTTAATTAAGTAGGACGCCACTAGAATACTCCTGAGAACAGCGCTGCTGTTTGCTAATTGCTGTATTTTTCTGTCCTATAATTACATTCGGTGAAATCTGATGGTAGGCTATATTTTACTACATACTTTACATTAAGGCAATTTGCACTGAGCACTAAAGCAGCGTCTTTACTTGGGTCAATAGAAAAACGAGAATAACGGGAAGGCTGGGCCCCGAAAATAAAATAAATAAATCAATCACATTTTTATTAAGTATTTTAAATAATTCAAATAGCCTACATTAAAAACAATAAAGTATGTTGTTGCATATTACAAGTTGCTTTTTCAGTCCAAAAAAAATACAAATTACAAAAGATTCAAAAAGTAATTAAATACATATTTTAAATACATTTAATTGAAATGCTGCCAATATCTGGGTATGGACAGTAGGGACATGCCCCCCACCCAATATTGTGGGAGCCCCGTGTGTCGGGGTTCCAGGCTAATTTAGTCCCTACCAATACTGAAACCAAACCCGCGCTCTTTACCGAAATACTGAAGCTTTGGGTACGGCACTGGAGGAAGGCGGACACTGTGACACATATTCAATGCCTTTGACGGAGCGAAGTTTATGAAAGGCGCGGCAAAGCCGTTCCCGGTAGTAAGTGAGGATGTCACGGAACCGCAGCTAAGGACTGCAAGCTTTAGCTGTTCTAATAACCGGTCTTGAGCAACGTCGTATTTTGGAGGATAAAACCATCCATTCATTCATCCATCCATCCATCCATCCATCCATCCATTTTCTATAGACTGTCAGAAAAAGTACCAATTTGTGCCTTTCAGGTACAATTACTTTTCACTGGGGCTGTACCCTCAAGGGTCTGCCAATTGTACCCTAGCTGTAGGTAAATGTACATTTTATGGTACAGAAATGGACTCTGAGGAGCATTTTTGTACCATTGGGGGTAAATTATTGTTGTTTATACCTTGGAGGGGGGGGGGGTGTACCAGGGCTATACCTTTTTTTCTGACAGTGCACCGGTTTGTCCTACGCAGGCTCGCAGTGGTCAGGTGTTATGCCGAAAAAGGGCATCCCTGCCGTAGAATGCATGCCGGTGTTCTGACGAGTTGAGCTTTTAGGTTTTTTTTGGGGGGGGGGGGGTTAGGGTTTTAGGGGTGTTTTGGGGGTTAGGGTTTTTGGGGGGTTAGGGTTAGGGTTTTAGGGGTGTTTTGGGGGTTAGGGTTTCGGGGGATAGGGTTTTACGGGTTTTTTTGGGGATTAGGGTAAGAGTTAGGGTTAGGGCTATCGATTAGCACTACGGTAGCCTAACTCGACAAAGTAGCTCAACTCGTTTCAGATCAGCGATCAATCGGTCATTTAGAGACAGACATGCATTCTACGGCAGGGATGCCTTTTTCGGCATAACACCGGAGCCGGTCTCGCAAGGTGGAAGATAAATGAAGCACATTAATTGGTTCATTATGTTACATAATTGATTCATTACATTCATGGCGTTCAGATAATATCCATATATAAGAACATAAGGGCATTGCGTCGGCGGCGAGAAGTTCGTCTGGGCTACACCGTCTGAGGAAAAGACGCTCTAGACAGTCTAGAGGAACATCTACAGCCTATGAACTGGCACGCGAGTCATTCAGGTCTATAAACTGGACAGAGGACATTCCTCCAGCCGACACGAACTCGGAGCGCACCACTGTCATGGTGTTAAGTTAAGACGGCAGACCTGTCACTGGGCCGCTTGTTAAAGCGTCTGTCGCTAAACGGGACGTTTACCATGCGCTGCCTCTTGCATAGTAACGTTGGCATCGAGGGCATGGGAGAGGTTGTTACGATACAGAAACTACCGTGAAAATAAGATACAAAGAGAATTGGGTGCAGAAAAAGGCAATGGCTTTGAGATAATGTTCAGTCGTTCATAACATAAAGAGAAATACATTTTAAGTAACTTAAGTAACCTGAGTATTTTATTGAAATTCAAGCATCAAACTGAAAACCCAAACTATCTACAAATCAAATATTTAAATGTGAAATATTCAAATATTTCCAAAGCAGTGTCTGTTCTAATACGTATGTATGAAAGGGGGGTACATACCTTTACGTTTTTAAACGCTGTCCATGGTACTCTGTGTTGTCAGCAGGATACTGGCGCGCCGTGTCTCTCCATACTGTCTTACGCACTTCGCTTCACTTTCTTTCCAGTCCAGAGTCTCGGGAGTGACTCTCACCGACCCCCGAAGTACCCCGCCATGCCGTCGTTCCTCTCATTTTCTATATTCCATTTGGATGTGCGTATATACTACGATGCCTCCCGTTGTTTTAGACACCCTATTACATGACAGAGACCATGCTGTTTTTAAAAGTACAATATGCACCGCAGATTTTATGAGTGGCTGCCTATAAGGACTTTCCTTAGTGTACTGAAATGTTTAGCTCCAGCCGGGCGTTTTGGAGTGGAGCCCGACCCTTGCCTTGGTATTTAACATGCAGAAAAACACATGACACCGAGCTGCTCACGTCATGCTATTTCCGTGCAGGTTTCACAGATTCTTTATTGAACGTCAGGAGGTCCATACATCACGAACTGACTTGTTGCAGAAACTCGAAGGAACTGGAGGGCCGAAGTAAATATCATAATTTTTTTTATGCGGAATGGGATTATTTTTTGCAAAGTTTTTTCAGTAAACAGTATTATTTCTATTCGGAAATTCTTGAAGTACCTGTGTGTTATTACTACGATATGTGCGCCAAACTAAACCCACAAGTGTAACATTTCAGTTGTGTGAGGAAACAGACCCCTTTGACGAGTTGCGTAGGGGGCATTTTTAAAGGAAGAAGCTAGATAATTCTCAGGAAGCGAGTTCTACTTAATTCTGAACCCCGTTCTTGCTTTACTTACCCAGATGGAGGAAAGGTGAGCAGAGAGAACGAGAGAGTTCTCGGTCTAGATGAGTAACACCCACACCGTGCCTGTATGAGTTTCAGGTGAGTGTATGGGGGTGACTTTGCTGCTTCCTCTCTTCTAAATATACAACTGTGACACACGCAGGTTTGCCTCGAGGTTCACTTTTTGAGCCATTAAGCCAATATGCCCTGCAGCCAGTGGGGAAAAGGTAAGTATGAGTTGACCGGGCAGGTAGGAAATGTCAAACTGCTGGACAGTGCTAGATGAAAAGCAGTTGGACGTGCGAGCCAGTGTGACCCAGACACCACAGCACACTTCGCTGCCGAGTGAATGGCACTGATACGGGAACACATAAAGGAGACAATAAGCATTTACGCAGCGCGCACTGATGTCTGTTTGCCAGCAACCAGTCGAAATCATTCGTGCGTTATGCACAAGTAATAGAACAGAGCAAAGCAACGGAGCCGTGTAAATTTGCACACGTCAGCATTTGAAATTGAGACATTCTCAGCTTTCCAAAAATAATGCAAAATCAGGACATTTGCAGTTACAGCATAGTAGAGTTGTAAAGTTTAACTTTAACTCGCCTCTGTTTAACAGATCATTATACACTGGAGAATACAATCTTCTGTCTGGGGTGTTTTTAATGCCTGACCATCCTGTCGTTGCTCTCAATTGAATGGTAACTGCAGTTTTATCCAGGCAACAAATATTAGATTACATCCTCCATTAATGCTCAAACCCCAGCCTCAGTCTGCATCCTGTGGAAAACTTGCCATTTCGATCAATTGCACTTGATAATTAATGACATGAAACAATAGAATATGAAACTGACAATACATTGTTCGTGGTGAGTAGAATGGGTTCCGTTTTCCCAACGTTCTCACAATACCGACCCATTGTCTCCCTCTTGTGGCCATAATCTCCTAATGCAACCGATTATAGAACAGGAAAGCGGAGAGGATCCGTCAAACTGAAACAGAAACAGAAGGAGGAGAAAGAATAAAGAGGCAGAGCGAGTTATATGACAGTTTGGCTCTCACACTGTTGTCACAACATGACCTGCCCCAGCTGCAGTCAGGTGAAGAGGCTGCCAGACCTTGTGGATGCACCCAGCCCCATATACTGGGCTCCACGATGGTGGGGGAACGGCCAGAGGATTGGGATTGAGGATTGTAGATTTCACTTTTTGCTGGACTGAAAGGTTCACCAAAGTGACACATTTTGAAAAAAGTGCAGGTGATACTGCAACACAAGCATTAGCATTAGCGTTTCTCTCCTTGGCGATTCTGATTCCTGGTAAAAGGCTACACTGTAGCAATGTGTAGCCTTAGTGGTAAATGTACCTTTTAAGGCACAGAAAGGGACTATGAGGAAAAGTACAAAGTGCTACTCTTTTATCTGACAGTGTACAATTAGCAATCGCTACCCGCAAACCACAAAGGTTTGGCCAGGCCAGTACTTGGATGGAAGACCAATTAGGAAAGCTGGGTTGCTGCTACAAGAGGTGCTGGTGTGGCCAACAGGTTAGTCTATCCTGTGGTCTGTGCTGATCCCAATGCACCAGTGCAGTGACGGGGACACTGTGGCCATCAGGCTAGCCCATCCTTTGTTCTGTGTGGATCCCAATACCCAAGTGCAGTGACGAGGACACTGTGGCCAACATGTTAGCCCATCCTGTGGTCTCTGTGGATCCTGATGCCCCAGTGCAGTGATGGGGACACTGTGGCCAACAGGTTAGTCTATCCTGTGGTCTGTGTGGATCCTGATGCCCCAGTGCAGTGAGACAGGGACACCGTGCTGTAAAAATTCAGTCCTTTGCATGAGACGTAAAACCAAGGTCCTGACTCTCTGAGGTCATAAAAGATCCCTGGCATTTTTCAAAAGAGTCCTGTCTAAAATTGTCCAGGCTAAAATTGCCCACTGTGGCCCTATCAATCTGGCCTCCTAATCATTCCCTATACCTAACTGATGAATTCCCTCCTGCCCCTTCACCACCTTAGCTACTGTGTGGTGAGCATGCTGCTGCAGAACGGCTGCCATCACATCATCCAGGTGGGGGCTACACAGGGGTGGTGGTTGAAGTGGCTCCCCATTGCTTCTATAAGGTGATTTGCATGTCTTGAAAAGTGCTACATAAATGTAACATTCATTCATTCCGAACGCCAGGCTTCCCTCTTTCTCCACCTAGGCCCAGCCGAGGGTCTCATTGACCGATCAGTGTACCCATCACGGTGGGTCGGTTTTCATTCTCCCTTCTGGAATCCTACTGGCCAGAGAACAAAGTGTAGGTGCAGGCGACAGAAAACCATGACAACAGGCAGCTAGAAGAGGGAGCCGCCAAGGAGCAGCTGAGCTTCGTCAGGTTTGTTTCCCTGACATCGACAATAATGAGCTTCAGAAGAAGTTAAAGAAATCAGTGAGAGTGTCTCCTCAGGGCACGTCCAGTTGGAAATGTGGGGGAAAGGTCGTCTCTTGCTAACAAAACACCGGGAAAATAAGGGCAGTGTGTGTGTGTGTGTGTGTGTGTGTGTGTGTGTGTGTGTGTAAATACTGGCATATGCAGTAAAGCGCAAACATACTCATCCACCTAGAACATTTTTTTTTTAAACATAGAAATTATGCACCCATTCCATTGTTCCGTTGTTTAAGATGTAACAGAACAGCATATCACATTCTACCGTCAGCTGGGAACATACCTTTTAATTAGGCATCACACACATCACTGTGTAATTAATACGTTTTCTGTAGAAATATTCCATCCATCCATGTTCCAGCCACTCATGTTATTTGTGCCTGGGGTGGAATAAACCCTGCACAAGATGAGCACAAGTCTAGCGTTTTTGATAATATTTGTCTCTCCATGGCATGAATTTTCAATAACCCTGCGTTTAGAGTTTAAAAAAAATTATAATTTGGTAGGCATCCCCTGGCCTGGAAGTTCGGGAAGGAAATGTTGGAGTGTTATTTGATTAATCTGTCCAGGTCGGGCCATTAAAAAACTTTAAAATATTCCATGTGAAGCTTTTTGTGATGTCCTTATGTGCACTGCAAAAAAGGAAGATAAAGTTTAACCAATTATGTTGTATGGAAAAACATAATATGATGTCCAGGGGCAATGGAAACATTTCCGAAAGAAACAAATGGGTGAAATTATTTGTATTTGCTAAGAACAGACTGTTCTTTGTGTACAACCAATCAGATTTCATATTCTTCTTGTGCAAATAGTCAAATAATTAAATCAAACTAGAAAAGATGCTGTTGGAATGAAAGCAATGCATCCCCAGACATGCCCGCTACCCCCTCGTCCCCGTCCAATCCCGTCCCCTCCCATACCCCCCAACCACTACAATTTCGGGAATTACTGGATGGATGCACTGGAAACGTGAGAGCCAATGAATGTGTCTTTAGCCGAATGTCTGAGTCCCAGTCGTGACACGTAACTCTGAAGCTACGCCTATTCATGTATCGAGCCTAATCAGCAGGAACAATGAGACGGCCAACATGGAGGAGACTCAACACCTGGCTGCATGCTGTGCTAAGAAACAACATGGCCATCAACACCAGGAAGACTAAGAAGCGCATTGTGGACTTCAGGAAGCCCAGGGGCTGCAGGCACAGTCCCACTCGGATTACTGGAACCAAGATGGAGCATGTCTGCAGCCCCTCTCAACTCCACCACCTGCTACAATTGGTGTGGTGAGTTGCTCTGTCTCTGACCTGGAGTGGGAGGTGAAAAGTGCCCCATACATCATCAATGCCCAGTTCGCCGCCATCAAAGACCGCTGGCATAGGTGATTCTTTAAAAGGGCACAAGACATTATTGAAGATAATGCCCCCCCCCCCCCCCCCCGAGCCACAGACTGTTTACCCAGCTCCGATCTGGAAGGAGGCACAGAAGCCTCCTAGCCTCCTATCGCACACCAGTGGGCTGAGGATCTTGCTTCCTTCCCACAGCTGTGCTGAACTCAAAGAAGAAACGGAATTTAACATTAGAACATATGAAAATTAACAGTAACACAATTCAAAATTTAATAAAATAAAGAAAGTGTTTTGTTCTCCAAAAAGTTACTGATGTTTTGTTGGACGGCTAGATGAACAGGACTTTGGTTCCCAAACCTCTCCTCAGGGGCACCTCAGCCATTCCATGTATCTGTTACATTTCTCCACCAGCTTGATTGATTAATTAACTTAATTTGTTCAAGAGCTCAGTAAAGCATTGATTAACCAAACAAGGTGGGGTGTATTTGGGTGGTTGCTGCAAATACTGGGGTGACTTTAGGAGATGTTTTGAAATGACTAAGCTGTCATGGACATTGTTTCATCATCTCATGCCCCACAGTTTAACACCTGTAGAAAGTTCCTGAAAATATCCATCCTTCCAGATTCACAAAATGGATTCTGCAGCCTGCCCTTCCATCCTCTGCTGCCACCTAGTGCTGCTGCTTTGAAGTGCTGTAAAGAGTAAATAGAGTGATAAAATTGAATAGAGTTATCCTGTTCATAAGGTCAAGTATTTCCTCTAGTCATACTTTGCTTTGCTGTTACTACATGACATTGCATCTGTTCTGGTGCGATTTGCCTCAAGATCTGAACAGGTCCAAAAACCCACACAGTGTGGCAGCACAGTTTTGGAAAGATCCAACAAATATTTTTGATACTGACAAGATCAAGTGTCTGAGGCTGCCCTTCTCCTTGATATCACTATGCAGTGCTGCTTCAATTTTGGTACAAAATTGTATCAAAATTTGACCAGGTCCAGATATTCACCCTTACAATGCATCTGCAAAGGTTGAAAAGGATCTGTCAAATACTTTTTGAGTTATTGCTGTAAAAATAGATTCTTTGACACTGCCCTTCCCTTTAATATCACTATGCAGTGCTGCTTTACTTTTGGTGCAATTTGCCTGAAAATTCGATCATTTGCAGATCTTCACCTATACAGTGTGCCTACAATATATGAAAAAGCTCCTGCTTAATTTTGGGGGCAATTTGTCACAAAATAAAAGCAGGTTTAAATCTTCATCCATATAATGTTTTTCTGAAGTAGCAATAAGATCCATTAAATACTGTGTGACATCACATTCACAAGGTCAAATGTCATCTGCAGTCAGTCTTCCCTTCACTAAGCAGCCGTGTTTCAGTTTTGGAGCAGTTGGCCTCAAAATATGATCAGGTCCAAATCTTCACCCAGGCAATGTGTCTGCAAAAGATCCATTAAGTACTCCTTGAGTTATCATGCTAACGTCAATCAAGTGGCAGTGACACATGTATGAGTCAACAAAACAAATATCATAGAGAGTGTTTTAGTAGGCAGTAGATGATTTTCAGTGTATTGCAGTTCCACCCATTAACACCTTAAGCCTTGTACCCCAATAAAGTCAAGCATTCATTCACGGTGCTGCTTTTAAATTCACCTCCAGTCTGACTCGGGAGTTTAGACCTCTGCAGTGCTCCTTGGACAGTATCGGTATCATTTCTGATCTGATTAATGTAAATCTGCACACACTCATACAGAAGGTTATTTTCTGGGAAGTATGACCTGCTTGCTTAAGGGTTACTTCTGGGGCTGCCAACATGTAGGAAATCATGGCCTTAACCAGCATTAGGCATGTCCTTCCTGTGAGAAAAACACGCGTAATATCAGACTGCACCCATAAAGTAATTAAGAAACATTCCACTTCAACTAGGCGCAATCAGGGCTAAATGTCAGATGGAGGAATTAATTTAAATTAACGTCATAATAAGTTAATTAATAATGGCAGAAGGAAGGAGTAATGGCAGAAGGATGAGACGAGACGGTGGGACAGTGTCCCCCCCCCCCCCCCCATGACAGAGTGACAGGGATTTAGTTCCTGTTAACATTAGATCAGAATGTGTCTCTTTATTATTGGCCCTGTGGTTATATCAGGTTCAGAGGCTCAGCTCTCTCAGCTCATGTGGAATTGGTTCACTTTTGGCAAATCTGGATTCTGGATTTTCCTGACAATAGCGCAACCATTTGTTTGGCAAAAACTTTCTCTCCAAGAAGCCTTGCGGGAGTCCAGGAAACTCTGCCCTCCGCCGTGCAGCTCAGCCCTCGTTTAAACTTTACTTACCAGCCTGATGTTTGCCTAGTCAGTCATACCTTATAAAAAGCCGGTGCCTCTCTTCCAATGGCTGAGATTAAGGGGGATTTTGTTCAGGAAATTACCATCAGCACCTACCACGCCCATCTACAAATGACTGTGCACAGAGATAAGGCAGGAAGCCCAGCCCCAGAAATCCACTCCGTTCATGTCTGTCTGATGACCGCGATTTCACGTTTTTCACAGCATGAAGAATGTGAGCAGTATAAGAGACAATATGAATTATGTTTAGCTACAAAGATCCTTAATCCGTAACACTGAGACATAGCACAGAGGTCACCTGCAATCATCATTTCCCCCTCGGATGAATGACCCTTCTACAAGCATTACGGCACTCAGCCATCTCACATCATTACAACAAGCAGTCTGAAGCACATTGCCAAAGTCTTGCTGGGGACATACTACAAACCGGTGGTCAGGACAACTGATCGTCAAGGCAAAAGTTTCTAGAAAATAGTTTCGTTGGTGATTTATTAACTTCAGAGAGGCATACCATAGGTGTACATGTACACTTTAACAAAGATGGTAAAAACAGTGAAAAGACACACTTTTGCATGTTCACACAAGCATTAGCTATTCATTAGCATCATCGGTGAAAATAAAAAAAAAAGTTACACTTTATTCAAAATGAACATACCCCATAAAGGAGACTTACTAAAAGGCTGTCTGACTGCAAGGTTTTGAGCACCTGCTTGAGTTAACCTCTATCCTGAGGACAGGTATGCACTTCAGGCTTGTAGAGCACTCCACGAGCTTCAGGGGTGCAGTGCGAGGGCCCACCATGCCTGACAACCTAAGACGGGGTGACGAAGAAGACCAGACGCACGGAATAGGCAGTGTCCACAATGTAGACAATGAGGTTGATGCACGTCATGAAAGACACCACCACTAGTGAGTCCCAGGGGCAGTGCTGGCAGCCGGCTGGCCGGGGGTTGTTCTTGAAGCTATAGAGAGGCCAGATCACCACCGCTGTCATGTACATGAGCACAGCCAGAACGTTATAGCACGTCAGCACCTTGTCGAAGGGGAAGGGGAACAGTGACAGGAGGCGACAGATGGTGAAGAGGATGATGATCAGGGCGAAGATGAAGCAGAGGCAGTAGACGGCCACGCACCACTGCAGACCAGCATACCGGTTGTACTGGTCTGGGCTGAGGCAGATGAAGATGATGCAGGCCACAAAGGCCTCCAGGACCTTCATGAGGCCGGGCACCGTGGACAAGAAGCCGCTGATCTCACCGGGTCGGGCACGTGTCAGCCCCACCTCCACGGCGTACATGATGAAGCACAGACACGAGATGGCAGTGGCACCGATGGCCTTGGAGCAGTTGGGGCAGGCAAAAAAGGTGGGGTAGATGATGGAGGCAGCTAACACCATCAGCGTGGCCAGCATGGCGAAGGCGGTGGTGAAGTCATCCCAGGAAATGGGCATCTTGCTGTGCAGGCTAGTGAACTCCAGGACGAGGACGAGTAGGGTTACCACGAAGCAGAAGCACCAGGTGAACATGCTCCAAGCCCAGTAAGATGAGCTGCTGTTGCCCTGCGCAGCTGCCAAGCTGAAGGAGATGCAGGACAGGACCACCTCCAGGACCCTCACGATGCCCACTGGGACCGTCAGCGACCGCACGTCGAGAGTAACCATGGCAATCTTCCTGCTTTCCCTGGGTTTGCGCTGTATGCTTATCACTGAATGACTCTGTTTCCTCTTTGATAAAGTTCCTTCCTCTCTCAATTTGTCTTTTGCCCTCACAAAATATCTTACCTTTTCTGAGGTGGTTTTTCACTCAGCTTTCTCTTCTTTGAATAAATCTGTCTCCCTGTAAAAGGAAGGATTGTTCCAAAAGGAAGGCAGCAATCCAAAGTAGTGTAGAAGTGTAGATTATGTCAACCACCTTCAAATGCTAGCTTCCCTCAATGGAGCGAACAGGTGCTTGTGTGTGCCGGTCTCGCCTTTACAGCCACATCCCCTGTGTCAACGGTCAGAGTACTAATAGGTGTGGTCTCTATGCTTATCTCAGTATTTACGCGTGGAGCTCACATTTAGAGTGGTTACTGACAGCCCACACAACAGCAGCCAATCAGATTCATTCCGGAAAAGGCAACCCGGCATATAAATAAGTGAATTCTACAACCTTGTGACATCAAAGAAGTGCTGCGAGTGCAGGACTTTGATCTCAGACACAGAGCCTCACTGCTTGTGATCACAGGACACGCACAATAACAAACAATGTGGCATGCACATCCTCAGTGTTTGTGATCACAGGAGACGCACAATGACAAACAATGTGGCATGCACATCCTCAGTGTTTTTCATTAGTGTTCCCAAAGAATATAAATACGTTTTTTTTAAAAAGTGACATAGAAAAAAACATTTAAAAAAACTGCAAAACTAAGCTAACTTAAAAGGTGTAAAAAAAAAAAACGTGACAGCACCTGGCAAAGTCCTTTGTTTTTAACATTATTCAAGACAGCAACAGCCAATACGCATATATATATATATGTATATATATGTATCACACCACTGCAAGCTGCAACTGCAACTTATCAGGACAGGAAACTACACGTTTTACGACTTCCCCGTCTGACAAATAAATATGCAAATGGAATGTGGAGATCAAGTAGAGTCCATGAGCCCGAAGGCTGTCAGCGCTGTTCTGTCCTCAACTCTGCCAGCCCATCAATGCCCCATCTGGCCACCCTTCCCTGCACACCCTACACCTCTAGGCCCCACGTTATGTCACTGACCACTGTGTAGCGTTCCTCCACACCACATCCATCACCCAGTCCTCCCCACCAGGTCATCTCATTCCAGGCTGGGAATAATGATGCAAGAAACAGGGGATAGTGATGATGAAATGTGACACCCCCCACTGTCATGGCTAGACACCATTAAGAGGAGATAAAGCTCGGTATAAACAGGCGGAACGTCTCCCCACAACACCGTCTGCCTCCAACGTCGCTGTGGAGCCATCGGTCCATCAGAAAATGAGAAATATAACCACCTTCTCAGAAATCTGTTGGCACTGGGCTCTTCCAGAAGAACATGACACCACCTCCAAATATCAATCTCCTTTTCACTTGGCTGAAACATCAGGCAATTGTTCTGTGGTAATGCAATCCCACTCTACGTAAGTGGATGAAAGCTCTGGGCTGACGCAGGCAAGAGCAGCTGTTTTGCCTCAATGTATCACACTGTAACTTACTTATACAAGTATGTGTACTTTGAAAAGTTAAATTTATACACTACTGTGCCTAAAGTCTTAGGCAGTCAAAGAAAATGCTTAAAGCTATTTAACAGTGTAGTAAGCATATATTTGCTCAGAAGAAAATGCAATTTAATGTTTGATCTTATGCAAATTAACAGTTATAGGTGGTTTTTTTTTATAAAAGTTTTAGCCATGGTATCATAATATCATTCCGAGAAAACTGCAGCATGTTTACACAATGGAAAAATTATGCTCAGAAACCACTTTGCCACATTTCTGGTGTCAGAATCTGCCCCTGTCAGCTTCATCATTTTACTGTTGGCCAGCAGGTGTCGCTGGCCTTCCCGTATCTCCCCGAAATGCTTCATTGCTTCCAGCCCTAATGTGTCAATCACGCACACCTGGCTCTTGTTGGTTCCTCGTTTTTTTGTGTTTATATGTGCCTGCCCTCGGCATGTTGCCGCTTGGGTTGTTATAGCTGTTGTGGATGGTAAACGTGCTGAGTGTGTGCTTGTGAGTTTAGTACTGGCCTCTGCTGTATGTCGGTTCCCCCAGTCCTGCCTAGTTGTTCCTCTCTGCCTTCTGTTTGACCCCTTGTGGTCCTTTTATTTTTATTAGTGTCTATTTTGATTTAACCAAAAAAACCCTTTGAGTCCTGTGAGGCTGCATTTGGAGTGTCCCTCTTCTCCCATTGTGACTTCAGGCCTCCGGGGACTTATGGACATCGGGCTGACTTCTCTCATTTTCTACTGCTAATGGCATCTAATGGTAATTTTTGCTGATTAACAAGGGGCCCCATCACCTCACACTAAGAAAGGAACAAAGAGCTTCTGTAAGTGGAACGGTCCTAACTTCAGCCAACTACACAGAGAACCCCACACTCCCTGAGGGCCTTTCCCCTCTGCTCTGCCTGCTTTTGCTGGGATCTGACCTTGACTCCCATTTGGCTGCAGCCATGCATACCTGAGCTGCCCCTGCATGATCTTCACCTGCAGCAGCAGATCTTCTGAGAAGGAGAGAGGACACTAACAATGCCAGCAAGCTCACAGGCAGTCTGTTCAATAAAGACTTTTCATAATGTCTCTCTGCTACGTCATTCTCCATAATCCCATACAATTTAATACATATCCTTTCTATGCATTTCACTTAGAATATCAAAAATGAAAGACATACTTGAATTTACTTTCCCACACATTGTACATACATCCATTCAGTACAGATAGTAGCAGTGGAAAATGCTGGAAATCAAGGGAGGCTTGGCATAAGCTTTGGGAAACTTCAGGAGAAATCATGTTACCATCAATTATTCCAATTCTCCAGACCTCATACCTCTAACCTTTTAGTCCCACATTTCTCTGTTCCATGTACTGGCCTTGTCTCCACATGGAGCAGTTTGAGTTCTCATGGAAGGACAATGACCATCTGGTTTGGATAAAGAATCAGATGGTGAACAGTGACTTCCAAAATTGTCAAAGGAAGAAGGCCTCAATCAAGAAATAGAACATTTTCATAAAATCCCCATGGAGGTTGCTGTCCAACATCCTATCTTCATCCATCTTTGCGGAGGCAGGGTCAGCTGGCCCAGCAGTTGGGAACATGACCAGCTCCGGATCTGGGCAAGTACACAAAGGGAAGAGCTGGGCTGTGGAAAGAGCCTCTCAGCAGAAGGATCGAAGTAAGAAAGAGAAAGAAAGGAAAGGAAATTAACGGGACAACAAGTACAATACCATCACAGAGCAAGGCTGTCAAGGAAAAGTCAACCTCCCCTTTAATATCTAATTAAATGTCTCATTAATCTCTCGGGTAGTTTGCTGGTTTCACCATGTAGATTTGGGTTACAATAAAGTACATCAGATCATGGCAGATGCTAGGGCAGGTCTTACAGAACTTCACCAGCTTGTGATCTTAGTCATGGGAAGATGTATGGCTGCCATTGAGTGCAGCTTATGCAGTTAATCACCATAAAGACACTGATGAAAACATAGGAAAATAGGTGACACCTGAAATGCTTATGTTAGCAAGGATCTGACACTGGCTGCTGCACCTGCATGTCTTCACAAGCTCCCCGCTCATGCTGTCAGTGGCAGCTAGCCAGCCTACACAGCTACATCACTGGCTCATGCTGTCAGTGGCAGCTAGCCAGCCTACACAGCTACATCACTGCTTTCCCAATTACAGTTAAGATGTGCTGCAGCTTCTTCAGGCATGCCAGTTCTCGGCTGCAAGCAGTTGCATTTCTCAGCATGGCGACTCTGACAGCGGTGCTGAATATTACACTCCTTCACCACTCTCACTGACCTGTGAGCCTTCAGTCCGACACCAGTGACATTGAGTTTGCAATAACAAGCACCGGGCAAAATGAATAAGCCAAGGAAATGTAATGGTCAATGTGATTAAACCAGTTAATATCTGACAATATAGTGGACCTTTTAGAACAAAACAAACTGTAAGTCAGCAGAGGGTTAAGGAATATTCTCATTTCTGTATGTACAGAAAAATTTCTTCCTGTGTGCTAGCTCCATGGCATAACGAATGCATAACTCATCCCTCACCGGGCTGCTGATTGGCAGGGATGAAGTACCATAGTCTCCGCATTCCATTGCTGATTGGCAGGGATGAAGTACCATAGTCTCCGCATTGCATTGCTGATTGGCAGGGATGAAGTACCATAGTCTCCGCATTCCATTGCTGATTGGCTGGGATGAGGTCTCGCAGTCTCTACATTCCTTTGCTGGAGATGAAGTCTTGCAATCTCCACATTCTTTTGCTGATTAGCTGGGATGAGATATCACAGTCTCTGCATTCCTTTGCTGATTGGCTGGGATGAGGTCTCGCAGTCTCTACATTCCTTTGCTGATTGGCTGGGATGAGGTCTTGTAAGTCTTTATATTCCATTGCTGATTGGCTGGGATGAGGTTTTGTAGTCTCCATGTTCCTTTGCTGATTCACTGGGATGAGGTCTTGTGGTCTCCATGTTCCTTTGCTGATTGGCTGGGATGAGGTCTTGCAGTCTCCATGTTCCTTTGCTGATTCGTTGGGATGAGGTCTTGTGGTCTTTGTGTTCCTTTACTGATTGACTGGGATGAAATCTCTGCATGCCTTTACTGAGTTTCAGTGTGTACAGTGTAAAGATCCTCAAGTCCAGCCATTACAGCAAACTTTTCACCTGTAACGTGACACCGTCCTGTCACCAGAGTTTCCAGTCATCTGAATGCTGTCATTACACGGTCATTATCTGAGTTGATTAAGTGCTCTGAATGCTGGGTGACATTATAAAGGACTGTGCCAAAAGGAATAAAAAGAACCTGTACTGAGCAGAGTGTGGAAAAAAGGAACAGGAATGTAATTTAGGGTGTCGTCTAATGAAGCTAGCAAACAGACCACAGGGTGAGCAAACTCAATGGCCTAACTGAGGCGTGTGATTCGCTAAAGCTGGATTCTTCTTTTCAGTGGGAGGTTTATAGGTTACCTTTGGTCTAAAGCAACAGCTGAGTCTTTGCTATCTAATTCTTCTGCCTGGAAAGTTTATGTAATAACTGCTATTGTACAATGTAAATGTTTGAGATAAGGACAGCAGGTTGTAGCTATGCAATTTACATTTATCAGGAAATAAAGGCACACTTCCATGTAACCAAGGCACAATTTAAAGTATTAAGTGCCCCAGGGCCACAGCACACGCGACATCACGGCAGGAAGGCACGGACCTGATTGGTGGCTTGTAAAAGTGCATATAACATTACATGAGCTTTTCAGTGACTGCTATAATAAAGGAATACTATACAATCATATTAAATATAGTAGAGTCACATTTATTTGTTAAAAAATGTTCATGAATGGAATGGGTGGGATTATGGGAGGTTGCCCTGCTTGGTGTCTCTATCCCATCCCCCCCTCCAAGGCCGTGGCGCACAAAGGTCCATATAGTTGATCCAGGCCAGCCTGCAACTGCACAGAGTAAGAAACCTTACTTTCCTATGTAAAAGAGTAGTTAGGGTTAGAAAGGCAGGCCAATGCACAGAGTAAAAAGCTCTACCTTCCCATGTAAAAAGGTTAGGATTAGAAAGGTGCCCCTCCCTGTCACTACACAGAGTACGAAGCCTTACCTTCCCATGCAAAAAGTTTAGGATTAGAAAGGTGCCCCTCCCTATTACTGTACAGAGTAAGAAGCCCTACCTTCCCATGTAAAAGGGTTAGGGTTAGAAAGGCATGCCTCCCTGTCACTGCACAGAGTAAGAAGCCCTACCTTCCCATGTAAAAGGGTTAGGGTTAGAAAGGCATGTCTCCCTGTCACTGTATAGAGTAAGAAGCCCTACCTTCCCATGTAAAAGGCCACCACACTATGGATTATAAGCCCATGAGAGACAGGCTTTTTGAACATTAACTGTTTCAGTATGTGTTCACACTGAGAGCCCAATCCTAACTGCATCATGATAATGTTCAAAATGTGGAAAGTCGTCTTGTGAAAAAGAATGCATAAAAAAAGAAACAAACTGAAAAAACAGATGCAGCTCTCTCTGAGTAGGAAGAATGGATTTGTTTGGCTCTGGGTTTGTTGATGTTTTATTTTTGCAGTCTGTCAATAAGAAAAGCATGTAGGGGCAGTAACAGAAATTATTTGTGAAACTAGCAGTTACATTTAAATTTAACTATACTCTGAAAAAACATGACAGTGAGACTCATTTTCCATCCTGCCAGAAAATCAGTCAATCGAATTCAATTGAGGATTAAAAAAAAAAGATTTTAAAATTGAAAAACTGTGACCTTTAAAGGGGAATTTCCCTTAACGTGGTTAATCTCCCTTCCAATATACTCCATTAAAGTAGTCATGGCGAATCGTTTAGCTGTTACTAGCAACCTACAATCCTGCAATCCAAGACGCCAAAAAATTCAGATGAATATAAAATAGAAAAAGAAAAAAAGAACCCTGATTTCTCAGTGCCCCCCAGTGGACAAAAAAGAAATGACGATTACATAAAATATCAAAATACCGACGGGTATCTTTCAATATTACAACCCCTGGCAAAAAGTATGGAATCATTACTCTTGGAGGATGTTCAGTCAGTTGTTTTACTATGTAGACCAAAAACAAATCACAGATATGACACAAAACCATTTTACCTAACAGCTGAACATTCTGGCTCATACCTCCAAAAAATAAAATGACATTGTTGCAATTAATGACATCTTTTTTCAGATCAAGTAGAGGAAAAAATATGGAATCACTCAATGTTGAGGAACAAATTATGGAATCAAGAACAAAAAAAGAACACAATTAGTACTAGTCCTTCGTTGCATCTACTCTGGTTTTTATGACAGCTTGAATTATTTGAGGCATGGACTTCACTAATGAAAAACAATATTCTACATCAATCAGGTTCCAACATTCTCGTATAGCAGTTGACAGATCAGCTTTGCAGGATGGAGCAGGATCGGATTGAGATCCAGACTGTTTTCTGGCCATGTTATTGTTGTTATACAGTATGTCTATCATTGAGTTGATATGCCTTTCTTGAAGAAAAGTTTTAACACTCTGTGCTTGGTGGCAAGATGTATTATCATCCTGAAAAATGACTTCATCATCACCAAACCTACTTTCGATTGATGGAATGAGAAAATTGTCTAAAATTTCAACGTAAACCTGTGCATTTACTGTGGAGGTAATTGTTACGTTCGCCCAGCGGGCAGGAAGGCAGCGAAGCCATGAAGTCAGGAATAGGGGTTTATTGACACGGACCGGGCAGACAGCGACAAACATCAATGACCGATCTGGGGAACACTAACTCAGACGCGGACTAAATACACAAGACGTGCAGAAAATAACAGGTAACAGGTGATCACAATCGGGGTAGTACACGTAGGTAATGAGGGGGCGTGGCACACACGAGGATCGAACGAGCAGGTCATGACAGTAATGACTGAAATCTGCCCTGGTCCTTTACCTGACATGCAACCCCATATCATCAATGACTGAGGAAATTTGCTTGCTTTCTTCAGGCAGTCGTCTTTATATGTTTTATTGGGATGGCACCAAACAAACGTTCCAGCATCATCTCCTTGGTCAATGCAGATTCGGGATTCAACACTGAATACCACTTTCATCCAATCATCCACAGTCCATGACTGCTTCTCTTTAGTCCACTGTAACCTTGTTTTCTTCTGTTTAGGTGTTAATGATGGTTTACATTTGGCTTTCCTGTACCTAAATCCCATCTCCCTCAGCCGATTTCTTACAGTTTGGTCACAAACATTGACTCCTGTTTGTGCCCAGCTGTTTTCCATTTCTTTTGTCGTGCATTTTCTATTTCCACGCCATATTGCTTTGAGTCTCCTATCCTGACGTTTTGATGTCTTCCTTGGTCTACCTGTATGTTTCCCTTTTACAACCTTCCAATTTTGTTTGTACTTGCTCCAAATTTTTTACAGAGCTGACTGGGAACAACCAATATTTTACACCACACTCCATGTTGATTTACTTTCTTGAAGAAGTTTTATAATCCTTTCCATTGTTTCAACTGACAACTCTCTTGTTGGGGCTATGTTTCCTGTCAATCAGTCAGGTACAACAGCTCGTTAAGATCTGCAAGCACTCTCATTTAACTGCAGACTAATTTTCCTAATTAAACCTGTGCAGGTATTTCTTTCAGAAATGCAAATTACAGGGTGATTCCATATTTTTTTTCCTCAGCATTGAGTGATTCCATATTTTTTTCCTGTACTTGATCTGAAAAAAAAATGTGTCATTAATTGCAACAATGTCATTTTATTTATTTTTTCATTTATTTTTTTGAGCTATGTTTTACAAAGCCAGAATGTTCAGCTGTTAGGTAAAATTGGTTAAATATGATTTAAAAACTCAATTTGACCTCTTGTTACAAATATGATAGGCTTCCTGCTCAATTTAATAAAGTGAAATAAAGCTAAATTTATGGCAAATTTGATTATCATTTTGCCGATATTACACAAGAAAACAACTTACTTTTGAGTTAAGTCGCTGTTATTTTAATAAAAATATTTGCATGTTTAATTTTGTAATTCAACGACTCTTAAGTGTTAATGAATTTTACACAGTTGGTTAGTTTCAGTCTTAACCCTTTTTATTTTCCAGTTTGTTTACGTCTTCAATCTATTTATCCTGGACAAGGTTCCTGGAGCCTAAAACAGGCATCAGAGCGCCTAGGACAGGATGCCAGCAAACTCCACACACGGAGAGCGGAGATAAGATTCAATCACACAACCCATTAAGATGTGAGATGTGAGACCACTATCGTTACTATCTTAACAAACTATGCATTCATAGGTTATGTGTGACATTTAGTTAACTAATTGTTTATTGTCGTCTGCTGGCAGTCCCACGTTCCTTTGGCCTCTTTTATTTCTGCCTGAAAATGTCCTGTGTCAGCGTAGGGTACTATGTACATCAGCTGGAAAATATACGGTCACTCGGTATTTATTCATTCGGCATTGTACCAAACAAAGAAAAGTAGTCTTGACACCGTTGGCAGCTGCAAAGTACCTGTAATATGCTTTTACGTATAAATCTCAGAGTACGAGAATAACATCCTTGTGACAAGAAAAGATCCAGCTGGATTCTGCCATTGACCTGGATCTAACTACGACCCATGCAACCAAGTCTGCCAAAAACCATCTTCTAGATTATTCTAGTTCATGATTGCAGAAAAGCGTCCGCTTGGTGTCAGTGCAGTAAAGGTAAACGAAGCTCTCCGTGCAATCAACTGTATAAGTAGGCTGCGGATGAGCAGAAGTTCAAGGTAGAAGCAATTACTGTTCAAGTCAGATTATGTTGTATTCTTATTTATGTGTGGAGTGGAATATTGATGTTACCTTATTTCAGTTAACTAATTTTCAGGTAATGTTTCTGACCCCTACGATGGCAGTCTATAACCAAAAATACGTGCATTTAGATCTTTTTTCCCTCATCTCCTCTATTGCTCGTGTAGCCTGTGCATGATAGATAATAAATACAGACAGCAGGAATCTTCTGCATAATGCGTATATGTTTGATTAGAGTGGTGCGAGACATCGAGGGAAGCAAACCGCAAAGACTGCCAGGAGGTCTGTAAAATCAAGCTTATTTTCTGTGGGCGGTGCAGCTGCGATCGCGGTCCGTCCCGTTTGCTGTAAACCCTGCCCGTTTGAAACCGAAGCCTGGTTCTATTCAGTTATGGATGAAGCGCCGGTGAGGAGGCAGCGCCTGCTCTATGCGCTTAATGGTGCAAGGGAGACACGTACTGTGCATGTAGTCTGTCTACTGGGTCCGATGGAGTAGCACACAGCTTTGTCGAGGCAAGCAGCCTTGTACTTGTATGGTTTAGTGTGCGAGGAAACTTTTGGAGTTGAAAGTACCTGTTGCTCGTCCGAGCACATTTCAGGACTCGGATTACAAACAAGACTATCAATTTTTGGAAATGAAAATGCATCTGTGCCGACGGTGGTGTTTTCGCGCATTTCACACTTAAACTGGAAAACTCATTCAAAGTGTTTAAACACTATATTGGATATTTAGTTTTGGAACAGAAAATGAGAATATATAGTGTGCCTACCGCAGTGAAGCATGTTGAAGTGTATGGCCGGTGTCGCTGAATAAACACATTGCTCTATTCTTAGTATAACAACCGAACCGAGAGTTCAGAGGGAAATGGCAAACGAGTTGAAACCGCGACTCTGTGTGATGAACAAGAGGGAGAATGGCTATGGCTTTCACCTGCATGGAGAGAAGGGGAAGAGTGGACAGTACATACGCAGAGTGGAGCCCGGCTCGCCGGCCGAGGCTTCGGGGCTACGTGCAGGGGACCGGGTGGTGGAGGTGAACGGCAAAAATGTGGAAAAAGAGACGCACCACCAGGTGAGTAACACAATCTCCCCGCAGCTGCTCCTCCGTGGAGCCCTCGGTGTCGCTTTCACAGTAATGCAAATTCATTTTCATCCCGAGGATAGTGGCCACTGGAAAAGGGACAAAATTGCTACAAAAAAGGAGTTCCTTAGTGTTATAGAACCTCTGGCTGTTAGCATGTAGTGCGGGCACGTGCCGGGTTTATGGAACTAGCGAGGAACCTGATTTTGAAGTGGAATGTTCTTTTTCATTATGTATATATTTATTTGTGTTAGAAAATAAAGCCACTTCTGCCCAATTATCAATTCACTGGTGTATGAATGTGTGTGTGGATGGGTGAATGTGAGGCATGAATTGTAAAGCGCTTTGAGTGCTCGTAGAAAAGCTATATAAATGCAATCCATTTACCATTTAATTTGCAGGGAGTCTTCAACACATCAGCTTGTAATGTATATTTTAACAGAATATTTCCAGTTTCGGACCTAAAAAGTATCTGGAGCTGTACAGACATGGTTTCTTGCTCGGTGTTTTGGCAGTCAGTCAGGATGATTGAATAGGAGGCCAATGATATTATATTCAGGTCTACCAAAGCTTTCACATCACTTGGGACAGCCCTATGTAACTACCCTTGCAGATTCCCTATGTAGTTTTCATGGCCTAATGCCTAGCTGGTACAGATTGAGCACTAACTGCATCACAGAGCTAAGGCAGTTCTTCTTGCAGTAAAAACAAAACAAAGAGAGCAGGGAATTTAAAAGCCGCATCAGCTGTTGGTGCCCTTGAGAAGACACCATGCTGAGTGGTGCACTGGAGGATGCACTCCAGCGGCCTAAATCAGCCCACAGCACAGCCACTCTGCCTGCTGAACCGAGGATTACTGCAGTTATTCACCCTGACAGCTGAAAGACAGACTCAACCGTCCACATCTGGCTACACAGAGCACCCATCTGAAATCACTAGTTCAGGGAGTGTGGGGTCACGGAGAATAAGCTCCTAACAGACAAGCTTCCTTTCCCACCTTCCCTTGTACCCTCACCTACACTATTTGCTAATTTATTTGTAAATTATTATTAATTGGGCAACCTTTTAGTTGGCATGTACCAGAACATCCAAGCTATATCTGGAATCACATTGCTGCACACACCTTCGCTATTTCTCCCCAAAGATGTGGGGGGGGGGGGTGTAACTACTCTTCCTCACTTGAGTTTTAGCAGGTACAGACCTGTGAGCCTTGTGTTGTAGCTTTAGGACGGCTTCTTTCAGTTGCGGTCATAAATGGCTGCACCACCGCACAATTCCCCCACTGACCATTCAACTTTTCCCATGGTCTCAGGTGGTCCAGCGGATCAAGGCCGTGGAGCATGAGACACGGCTGTTGGTGGTGGACAGGGAGACGGACGAGTACCTGAGGAGCATGCGCCTCTCCTGCACAGATGACTCCACAGCTACGGGAGGAAGCGAGGTGCCGTCGTCACCGAGCCACGTACCCAGCCGGAAGGAGAACGGCTCGGTGTCCAGGCAGGTCGTCAGGCTGGCCAACGAGAAGCCCCGGCTGACCAAGAGCTCGCCATCTCGCAGTACCAAGAAGGTGAGAGTCACTTCTCCTGCTTAGAAGTTGTTCTGGGCACAGTGAGTGCCTATTAATGTAGCAGACCCATGGTCACTCTTAGCCATTCAGAGGATGCAGTTCCCTTTGGACCATCCACCCCCATGTGCCGTCTGTTGCCTGGTTAAGATGGCAGGTACAGGGGACACCAGAGACATCCTGGGGACTGAGACTATGAGCAGCAGTGAGAGGCACTGGGGGCTATGGGTTCATATCCCTGGTAGCAGAAAGCTATAATACCAGTAAACTTTAGGTGTGCTTAAGGTACCTGCCATAGGTTCTAAGCATATTATAAGTATATTGGTGCATATTACTAGACTACTAGATATTGGATTTACACCAATAGTCATGCACATGGATACTGGTGTGTGTATAAACAAAGCACAGACAGGCGACAGCAGATGATTGTGTCATGTCCCTCGATGGCGCTGGTGCACGTGAAGGTAATCCAGGGTGCAGCCTGGCAGACCCGATCCTGACATTTATCTGAAACCTGATCACGCAGCCTGCAACCAAATCTGGGTATGATGGAAAATGTTTCTGTTTGGGGAATGAAGAACATGGTCCTGAGGACAATGCTGTTCTGGTGACCAGTGGGAATATGAACATGGGTTGATCACGTGCAGCTATGGTGCACGGAGTGAGCAGTCAGAGGATGTTCACACGTGAGGTCAGGGGCACTTTTCAGGCAGCATATGCTGGGATGAGTGTGTCATAGGGAACAGGCTGGAGTTCTTTCTAAGAAGCGATGTCTAGTGACAGAGATTCGCTGATTAACATACCCCAGAAATAACTGATATGGAGGCTTAGCTAACATGACGCGTGTTTGGATTCACAAAATACTGTGCTGCTATATCAACAAAAAGAAAAAGAAGAAGCCTAGTTGGAAAGTTTGTGCTGTTTTTCTTTTTGTCCTTAATTCCACTCAGATTCGGAAAACAGGATACAGCTCTTGAGAAGATGAGATCTGCTTTTGTTTGCAATCCCATCATTCTGTGGCCTGAGCCTTTCTAACTCCTGTTTCATGCTTTTGGTGAACATGTGTTTTCATTTATGCTGCTAACTGCTCCGATCGGGAAATAAAGGGCTGTTTTCTTCGATGACTTACGGGTCCAATCAGCGCTCTGTCCAGAGAGCACTCTACCTAAGAGTGCCGTTCAGCTGTTTGTGCTCCAAGGGCCTAGTAGCTGTGTTCCAGCTGCCTGCGTATCAGGACACCCCGGTTAAGCCCCGGAAATGTACCCAGTGCCTCCTGAACAGATCGCTGGCTGCTGCTGGGCTGAAAAGCAGGGTTGAGAAATCGAGGCTGAAACAGAAAACCTTTAAAAGGGATTTGGGGGGGGGCAGTGAGTGGCTTGGAGAAGCAGGAGTGCCTCTCTGCCAAGAAGAAAGCGCTTATCCCCAGGCCGTGGCTCTTAAAAGATAAAATTTGATTTGCACAGTCCCATTCCACGACACCTATGGTTTCCCGGCTATTGAGAAATATCACAAGAGGAACTATGTGGGGGTGGGGGGCAGGGGGGAGGCTTGTGGTCAGGGTAAAACAAAAAGTAACAGCCCATAAACACATCTGTTTGGCTGTTTTTCCTGCATTAGGCAGGAGGGACGTCAATCTAGAATTCAGCGTTTTTGTCTTTCATACAGTCATACATAGCTCAGCTACTAAAGCCAAGTGACCTTCAGATGTTTACATAATCATATGGACTGGAGGACAATGCTGGGATGTATTTTTAAGGACTGTCCATGTGCACAGAGACATTTTCCAAGTGCCCTCAGTGGACAGCCCTCCCCCATCCCGTGGGTAGATGGGGATGTTGTGAACTTTGTTCTTTCTCAATCTGGCTGTGGGGGGGAATATTTATCTAGAACAGTCTGCCCCATGGCTGCCATTTTCTTCATAATCAATCCAGAATGGTCAGCAGAAGTGGTGATGCTGTTTTGCTTCTAGTTTCTCCAGTCCTGCCGAAAACATGCCACATGGAGAGGGACCATGAGTACCGTGATATTTGTGCTGCTCAGATGCAGTAAGATTTTCCATAGATAAAGCAGCTAGTGCCTCAGTTGATCCTGATCATCTCCAGGAGATGTTATCAGGAAAAACGATCAATCCGGGCCAGCCGACTCGCATGTTCATCTTTGCTCTGAAAAGTCAAAGAAATCCTCTGGCTGTTAGCAGGGCAGCAGGCCTCATCGTACCGGGCCCTGCTGCTTCATGCAGGAGCAGAGGGCACAAGGAGGAGCCTGGGCAGCGGCAGCTCAGCTTAGGGGTCAGCTCCCAAGAGGACCATCTGCAGGAGCAGTGGGGTGCAGGAGCAGTGGGGTGCAGGAGCAGTGGGATGCAGGAGCAGTGGGATGCAGGAGCAGTGGGGTGCAGAAGCATTGGGGTGCAGAAGCAGTGGGGTGCAGGAGCAGTGGGGTGCAGGAGCAGTGGGGTGCAGAAGCAGTGGGGTGCAGGAGCAGTGGGGTGCAGAAGCAGTGGGGTGCAGGAGCAGGCTGCCCCGCTCCTGGCCTGGTCTCTGCTCCCCAGCTTGAGAAGCTGAGCCCAAGGCTGAGGGACCTTCATTGTGGTCAGGCTTCCTTCAGGTTGCTCACTGTACTTTTCAGACTGCAGGAGACCACAGTTAGCAGAAATGCAATTAGCGTGGGCCGTTACTGATCCAAAGACCAGGTTCGTAAGCAGAGCCCAGGCTTACCCAAGTCCCAAGCTGAAGTACAGAAAAAGGTGTGCTGGTGTTGGGAGTTTGATGCAGACTGAGAGGCCTGGATTCAGGCACTAGGTTTCCAAGGCTGCTGCGGTTACCTCCAGGCTTCCCAGGCTGCCACTGCAGGAAGGAACAGCGCAGGACGCTGGGGCCCCAGCCGCTGCTCGGCATCGCTGGGAACACATTGTTCTAATAAGCCTGTGTGATGCAGGCAGCGCTCAGCGATATGTGACACCTCTCCGCTCTGGTCCTTTCCTGTTTAACCGACCATCTTTAGCCTACCCAGCTCTCAAAAGGCTCCCTTCTGTTCCCCTATTACTGGCAATTCCTTTAGCACACATTTGGGCCAGTACAGCCATTACAAAACCTCCTATGGAGACCTGTCATTTCAAATGGACCATCTGGATATTTCAAAGAATTTGCACTGTGCCTGGTGCATGTTTTGCACTTTCCTGCACAAAGAATCCAGTGAGAGACTCTGTGTGGTTACAGCAGGCAGCAGTGCACACCAAGACGCTTCTTGGATGTTTTTATGCTGTTCCTTTAATGTACAGTGGCGTTTACCCTTAGCTTTCTAGGGTTACTGAATGAGGAAGCAAATCCAGGGGGCGTTTCTAATAGTCTGCTTTCCAAAGTGCACTGGAGACCAGGAACCTTTGCATGCTGTATCAATATGGAATAGGTTGCAGGCTCTCTACAACCCTGAGCAAGATAAGTGGTTGGACGATGGATGAATCCATGATCCCTTAGTCCTCAGTGTTTCAGTATCCTATCAAATAAATTGAGCCATTTCTTCATGGATAGATGGAGAGTTGGACACCCCCTTTCCCAAAATATCTGTACCTTGCCTTACCTGGGGCAAAAGGACAAGGGTGGCAACCCTCCAGTAAGTCAACATTGGACCTGGTCTCAGGTCATGGCCACTGACGGCTTCCAGAGTGTTAAAAGGGTAGATGACTTTATCACTGTTGTGTGTTGTGGGTGGGGTCCATGCCCAAACCCATATCTCACCCCAAATCACTCCAGACAGAGTTTGCAGCCACATGCTGCACGCCTGAGATACCACAGAGCACCTATGCATGATGCGCGATCCAGATGCGAATATGAAACATACAATTCACGTTTGTTATTCATTGCATGCTGCGCATGTTAAAAAATACCTGTAGAATGTATATTGTGGTGAATTTACATGATGCATTTATTAGTGCTGTGATTCCGCATAGCTGGTTATTGTGGCAGTTCCTGGGGTATTACTTTACCTTATTCTCTCCGGGAGAAGATACCTCGCATGAAATCCAGAGCGTTGTGCTGCTTGCAGACAGGACTCCAGCTCTGGGCCGGTGTCACGCTTCAGGAATTCACTGTCAGGGTTTCAGGCCGGGGGTGTCCCCATCCTGCTAACAAGCTCCTTCCTAGAGTTAGCTCTTCATGGAGATGACTGAGCGAATGGAGCTGGACAAAATCCCACATGTGATGGTAATCGTACCCAGAGGGGAGGTCACGTGTTCATTCCTACACCGAAGACGAGGATGGGCAGCCTGTTAACAGTGACAGGGAAAACATCCATTTACATTATGATGGCTTACTAACTGGCTGCCAGTGTGCCGGCATGTTCATGGGGACATAAGGTGAGCAGAGCTTGTGTGTAGACAGGTTCAAACTCAGAAGGGATTTCAGGAACGGGAGAGACAGTCGCCCTCTAGGGACCACGGTTAACGGACAAAGAATCGGATAAAGCAAATTAATGGGAATGATCTGTGCAGAAAATAACCAGAAAACAGTTCCAAAGCATTTCGAGACATTAAAGCCTTGGGATTTGTGGGAAATTGCCTGTCGTTTCATTACCCCAGTTGGAGATCTCCTGACATGCATTTTCAAAAACATCTTTTTTCTTTGGAGCAACATTTAGTGTTAGAAAGAGGGCCCTTGTCTTGCTTTTATAACATGTATTTCCACCATATCCAGTATCTCCTGCTCTCTAGTTCCTCTCCTTGGCCAGCTGCTCTCTTTCCAGATGTGAGGCCCCAGCCCTCTTTGCCCAAGGGATGCCTGGGGCTGGGGTGGAGGAATGCCGGCCCCTTCCTCTGGGCTGTGGGGGGGATATTCTGCCCTGGAGAATGTGTGGGAAAACAAGCATCTGCCTCCCTTGTACTACTACGGGAAATCTGCAGGTTCAGATGTGGGCTTCTTCCTACACTCACTAACATACCATGCTCAGGGTCCGACTCTGTAGCCTACAGTTCCCCGCCTTTTGATGGTCGTGGACCGGACTGCATCATACAAAAATTTCAAGGACCTGTGGGCACATCAGTTGGCGCTTATATAAGTTAAACCGTCTCCATTATTTTCTGATGCGAACAGAATATGTGAACGTGAGGGTTCATTAGAAAGTGAAAATATATAGTTCACTTTTGGAAATAAAGTGACCCCTCTGCAAAAGCCTCATCGTCCTGTGGCCTGGTGGAATACTGGCCAGAGACCGGAGGTTAGGAACCCCTGGGGATTCTCTCCTTCTCCAACATAACTCACCTTAGCATTGATCATGGAGAGCTTACTAGTTTGACCTCCTCTGGACTTGAATGCTCTGGCCAGGATTGCTTTTGCTTTGCATCTGTCATGTGAATGTGCGGTAGAAGCCTAGGAAACGTCCTGTGCAGGACAGAGCCTCCCCATGTCAAGGCAGTACAACATTATGGTACCAAGGGTAATCTACAAAAAAGATGACCTATAGGTAAAAGCTCATCACCTCAAACGGGCACCGTGACTCAATCTCTCCCTTTCCCTCATCGCTATTGTCTCTACTGATCCTCATAGCTCAGGTTTCTTGTCAGGGAAGGGACAGTGTGTGTTGCCCTATACAGATCAGTTATATCTCAGCTGCTGTTATGTAAAGCTCACCAGCAGTGCTGTCAACTCCCACCCCGCCCCCTGTGGGTAGCCAACCGGGGGGAGGCCTGGAGCCCAATGATAACTTGTTTGGAGTGCAACATCTGCCTGTAGGCTTAAAGGAAACAGCAAGAGAAGCCAGTCAGTGATCCTGGTGGTGTGGTTATGTAGCGGATGAAAGGAAACATTGATAATCAGTCTTGGGTTGATATGATATTAAAATCGTGCTGCCAGGTGCAGTGTTTCCCTGGGAATCCCTTAACATTCATTTGGTTTATTCACAGAAATCGCGCTGTTATTTTACCCAACTGTGGAGAGAAATGCCATGAAGAGCATATTCTGAAACTTTCCCCAAGCCTTCAAACTTGTGTTCTTCAAGAGCCCTTGGAAAGTTGAGAGATTCCTGGGGCAAAACACAGCAGTTTAGCGTCTTGTAATCATTGTGGTATCACCCAGGGTCTCTGTGCTGCCACGTATGGGGAAAGGGCACAGTCAGAGCCTCCCAGGCATTACACCTTAGCACTCCACACCTCCCAGAATGGGGATGTTAGAGTCTATCAAGAACAAGGAGCGTTATGTTTGTGCTGGGCCTCTAAGGAAGGCAGAAGATGTTGGAGCATCTTAAGGTGACGAGCAGGACCGCAGAGTTTCCCGCAGGCATGTAGCCCCCACTAACCGCTTATAATGTTATCGCTTCTCCTCTTTTATCAACGCACTTTGAGTGCTGCCCCAGCGAGGTGTGGGCACCTTGGAGCTGGGCCCCTCCTGTTTGTCCAGTGTGAGGAATGGCTGCGTCAGCTCCCACCGTTTTCTAGAGAGTGCCGTGAAGGCAGACATCTTGGTAATTCAAGCCGGGAGGCTGGGGCTTTGACAGCTGAGGGGGCCCCTGGGAAAGCAGTGCGGAGAAACCCAACATCCCCGACGTACCCAAAAGAACCGTCCTGTTAAAGGGACTATTGTTTTAACTACTAGCAAATGCACAGCTTTGTGTCCCTCTGTCAGCTTAAAATTACAGCTAAAGAACTTTCCAGAATGAACATAAACTCAGAATAGGCAAGAAGAATAAGGACTGCTCAAAGATAAAAGGTCATAGCTGTATATTAACATATATAATTACATTAAACATACATTGTACATTTACCTTTTTCCCATCCAAATCAAAAAGTCGGATCCCTTATAATTCTTGGTGCAGTTCCTGGTCAGGAGACCTTGCTTTCCGCTAGCAGTTGGCCCCTTTTAGATTTTGCTTTGTTTCATCTATCAGGGCAGCTAGGAGGCTGCCTGGGGTCTCCGCCACCTACTGAGGCTGCTGGCAGGGAACATGCTGTCATTCTAACAGCTGTAGCTGTGTGGAGGCCATGCTGGGGGATGGAGACAGGGAAGCCGAACTGGGAAAAACACCTCACTGCAGTTTTTATTGAATGGATTGTAGGATGGTTTCTTGTATATTACATGAGAAAAGTTCCATTACCTTTTAACAATGACTGTATACTGTATATGGGATTGACAAGAAATAACTCAGACATGTCATCAGCTGACCCAGGGTGAGGTGAAAAGAGAGAGATTAGTCAGACGTTGTAAGGTTACCAGATATCAGTGCGTTTGACGTATGTATCCATGTGCATGGTCAGTGCTGTGACACTCCCCTCATCCAGTGGCAATGGCTCACAGGTCTGCAGGTCATTCCTGCGGTTTTGGGGGCAGAATAAGTGGAAAAGGTGATTAGAAAAATTCCTCCACCTGTCATATCTTATTGGGTGCCGCAGCAGCTCACACCTTCGTGGTTTGGGGCTGAAACCTCATCTTTGCTGTGTGTGTGTCTGGAGTTCACTCCCCCTTTGTCATGTACCCCCCTGGAAGGGGGACACTTCAAAAACCAACAAAGAAGAATCAGGAACAGAAAACAGAATGGCCATTTCTTCCAACCATTCACGTTTCAAGGAGGACAATAAAGAACATTTGTATTTTCTCTGCTATCTTGTATCTCTAATGGGTGAAAAGATGATGTCTAATGTACATCAGAGGAATATTTTGCATTCTCCGATGGACCTATGGTGTGCAAGAGTGCTGCATGCTGGGATTTGGTTGGCTGGCTGGCTGGCAGCTGTGCACATCCACAGAAGCATCCTGATGGGTGTGTAGTACTTGGGAATTTCACTGAAACTGTATCCCTGAATCCCCATGGTCTGCGGGTGTCATGCCTGCCCAGCAGGGACAGGTTAGAGAGCACAGGTACAGCCATCAACAGTCAACAAACTCTTTTGTCAACAAACTCCTTTGTCAACAAACCACCTTTTTACTTCTGTGGTATGACCCTGCTGTGCCACGCCGCTTGTCACACTGATGTAACTCTGAATCGTTTGTCATATCAGGGGTCCTGCAATTGGGATCCCATCTGCTCACAAACTAACCTAAAGTCATCACAAGAAGAGACTTAGCCTGACAGACATACAGTAAGCTTGTGTAGATTTGAAAAACACATGTGACCAAACCCAGAACATTCCCCGCAGATAGGGGACTCTCAGTGGACGGAGGCTGGCAAGGGGGCAGCCTTCGAAGGGTTAAGACGGCCGTAATCCATCGGGACTCTGTGTGAATAATTGAGGAGTTCCGATCCAGTTTCACCACAGAGGCTTTACAGACCTTTTGCTGCCCTTTGCAGCATGTACACAAACAAGCAGGTACAACAATGTCTTATTGTGAAAGGCAGTAAAAGGAAATGCCTGCGTGCTTCAGGTCTGCTGCCGTGTTGCATGTAGCCCCTGTAAGGTGTACAGCACAACCTGAAAATGCTGACACAGACAAGGCCGGGACTCAGGGGTCTGCAGGAAGACCAGAATGTTAACTGTCTTACAAAAAACCATAAACATGTAAAATATGTCCGAAAGCCTGAAAAATCTTTGTACCAGTTCAGGGGACACTCAGACAAGCTGGCCAGCTGGACCTCCTGGGGGAAACACAGCTTGTAGAATTTGCTGGGGGGGAAGTGATATATTGTCATACCATAGCACACAGTGCACAACAATGAAATGTGTCCCCTGCATTTAACCTATATGTGACATCACAGGGGGCAGCTAATTTAGCACCCAGGGAACAGTGTTTGGGAGCAGTACCTTGGTCAGGGTACCTTAGTGATACTTTGCTGGTTGGGGATTCGAACCTGCAATCTTTCAATTATAAGTGCACATCCCCAACCACTAGGCCTCCACTGCGACCTCAAAAGACCTCATCCAGCTTTCTATGGTATCCAGGACAAAGAAATACAACAAATTAAGTGTCTAGATGTTTACTTTTACACCACTCTGGCTCAGCAGATATTAAGAAGACACCCCCCCACACACACACAAACACACACAACCACACAAACCTTTGAGTATATTGGTGCATTAACATTTTCTCTGTGGGGGGGTTCTGTGTTAGGAAGAGGCACTCTGGAAAAATGGAGAAAATAGAAAAGAATCTCCACGCACCTCAAAGAGCAGGTATTTGCATTGCGGAAGCATCTGCTACGAGCCTCTTCCAGACCCCAGAGCTCCTTGTAGACGTGGCTCTGTGCCACTGCAGAGAAGTATGTGGGTCACCATCTGATTCCAGTGCCTGAACACATTATGTCACACAGATCAAAAAACATCAGGAAATAAAAATGAATAGCAGGATTTAATGCACCTTTCCCTATTCCCCTTTGATCTAGCTCTGTTTTACTCGTCCTCTATTAGTGTGGGGGGGTGGGGGTATGATGCTGCAAGAAGAGATCCTTGGGAGTGCATTTAAATACCCCATAATCCACTTCTGCAAAACTTGTGCTGACCAGTGCTCTGTGAGCTCTTAATTCATCCAGAAGAATATACACAGGCCCACAACCTGGAACCTACTGGTACCGTTGGACTCTTATTGACTCTTATAAAGTACCTCAGTGCTGGTGGGAGGGGGTGGCTGGTGACTGATCCAAGATTAGTCACAGTGCATGAACAGGCAGTGAATGCAGTTGTGGGAAGCTTGGCTAGGACAGCTGTCTCTTAGCACTAATGCTTACCAGCTGCATGGTCTCTGCTGCTCATCTCACATGGAGGGGCTGAGCCCACAGCCCTCGCGGCTACACCGCCGGCCCCTGAAGGCCTTCGGACCTTTCCTCACCGCTCTGGAGATAATGCAGACGAAACTCCCATATTTCTAAACCTAAGGCTACTTGCAACAATATTTGTTCGACGAACCCTTTGCTTTGTTGTTTTGTTTGCCGTGGCTAATTCTTCGTCTTTTGACTGCCAGAGTGTACAATATTAGAGAGCTTGAAAATGACGTCATGCCCGTTTCTTCTCTGCGCTGCCAGGGGAATGACTTCAGCTGGTGAATGACTTCTTTCCCATTCTGAGCCCTCACTGTGATTACTGGATCAGAGCAGGTTTCAATCCAGCTTTCTGACTGTGCTCACTTATGCAAACATGAACAGAACGCACAGGCACTGAAGGACATATCTGCCACCCTCTGACATGCATGAAGAATTAGGTAGGCGTCAGTCACACATCTCCCATCTGGCCTCTGGCAAACTGCAGCTTTCTGTGCTTTCAAGTGTTGGTACATGGATGGAGGTCTGACCCCTCAGAATGACCGGAAGGAAGAACAGGGTTCAAAGCCACCAGAATTATCACTCAACAGCCTGCAGGGGGCGCCTAGCTTCTAAGTTCATGCCACAATACAACTTTGTCAGTTTCCTTTGTCTCTCGTCAGGGTCACCAGATCCTCCCTATTTTTAGTGTCATGCTGGGTGTAGCTGTGCTGCTTGAGGGTGATTACAGTAACAGAAGCTCTGTGCTGATCATTTAAAAAATAAAGGATTTGGGGCAGTGCTGTTGGAGCAATCCCGCTCTCTTGGGTGAGCTTTTCTACAGCGGAGGTGCCCCAGGTAACGCCAGGGGTCCTAACCTACTGTCAGGTTAACAAGCATCTTGTCGATTTAACAAGCATCTTAACTTGGTATGCAAGGCCTGACAGGTAACTGGGTGTTTTTAAAAGGCGTATCACACACAAAACCATCCAAAGGGCTTTGAGCAGAGGACTAGCCCATGTTTTGCAAAAAATCTTAGAGCTCATAAAGACGTCACACCATTGTATTTTGAAGAGGTAAGTAGTGTTTGTGTCAGTGATTTTGTTAGCATCCTTCTGATAGTAATGACTACTACACATATTCCTGATGATCCTGTCAGCAGATATGAGCCATTGATGGGCTGCAGTACCTGTAGCTCTACGTGTGCCAAGCCCATGCTTCATGTTGAGATGCCGCAGGCAACAGCAGTATAAGTAACAGAAATGCCATGTAACTGTAACTGCAGGCACTAATGGGTATTTGTTTTTTCTGGTGACCCCAGGAGTCAAAGTCCAAAGCCCAGGTCCAGGCCCAAAATGAGGAGCAGAACCAGACTGAGACCACAGAGCTTTTCCCACGTCTCTGCCACCTGCTGCGCGGTGAAACAGGCTACGGCTTCAACCTGCACAGTGAGAAATCCCGACCGGGCCAGTACATCCGTTCACTGGACCCAGGATCAGCAGCAGACCGGGCCGGGCTGAAACCTCAGGACAGGCTCATTGAGGTGAGTGCGAGTGTGAAGGAGGAACCACGTGGTGAATCATCAGGCCGAAGCGAAGGCAGCTGTGGCCTCGGCTCACCACGCGCAACAACATGGAGTGGGACGTGAAGAGGCCCTCGTCGTGATGCGCTACTTATATTAGGATTAATTCTCACACCAAGCAAACTGGCATGTAATAAGCAGTTTCCTCCTGGATGGAGTGGCTTTGCTGAATGGCTAATTGGTATAATTGCTACGGCGTGCTGTCTCATCTGTCAGCAGCTTGTTAGCAGGGCAAAACCCTCCCCCCTTTTTCCCACAGCCAGCATTTTGGAAAGTGATCATTTCCATAAACAAGGATTCACGTTCAATGGCAACTAAGCAAGATACGGAGCAATATATTACAGGAGACAATGATGACGCTTAATCTTAACCTTACACTAGTGTCCCTCAGCCCAGTCCTTGGGGATCCCCGGACGGTCCATGTTTTTTCTTCCTTCCTGTTCCCAGTATGAAACACAGCCCCACACTACCACTGAGTGTCACCCTTCAGTACCCAGCTGAATCAAGCCGCTCCACATTTCAGCATTGCTATAAAAGAGCAGTGTAATGACATGGACTGTGTGTCTAGCACTCCTGCTCTACCAATGACAGTCTGGTCTCACACATCAACATCAGCAATTCATTTTTCACTCACACACAGCTAGAATATGAGCAACACTAGCAACTAAGCAGGTAACGCTGAGGATTTTGCACACATTTGATGAAATTGCTGCACATTATACAGTCACTGTAAAAGTAACGTGCATGTTTTGCAGACCTGTGGCGTCCGGAGCCTTTCCTCGCTGTCAGACAGTCTTAATGGGACAGATTGTTCGTGCTGGTTATAGTAACCTAATGTAGGTGATTTAACTCCAAGCCCATGGTGCACGTGGGAGGGGGAATGGGCTGCCCCCCCAGCCTCTCCCAGGCTGTTACGAGCCTCAGGGCTGGTCAGCGCACGTTTGCTTGCCGCCTTCCTGTCTCAAAAGCCAGATGAATATTAAACAAAATCCCTCAGAGACACTGATACCTGAAACTCACACTACGGCTACAGCCAGGGCCACTCATCAATATTTCACGGTCGAGTGTTAAAGCTGCCTTGTTGTCCTGTGGCTGCCGGGCCTGGCCGCACCAACGCTCAGCACACTGGGCCCAAGGGCGTGCTTGCTGGTCGCCTGCTGCCTCCATGTGTGTTTTTACTGGTTGAAAACAACCTGGAATCTTTTTGTTTCCCTCAAATAGTACAGCCCTTTTTCCTCATATCTGCTTTGGTGCCCCCCCACCCCCCACCCAGCTGCAAGTACAAGGTGATAAGAAGAGTCAGTCTGTAGAAAATTGTGGCATAAGTGTGTGCAAATTATGAACCATTCTAAACTATTATGGAGACATACATATTTCATAAAATAATTTCATAAAAATTCTGCATCTGTAAAAGTAACGATTAACCAGGTAGATATCAAGCTACAGTGACCATAGGGCACCACCTGGTGGTGACAGTTTATAACTGCACTCTTGTCATTTTTCATGATAACTGCACTGGCAGCTCTGAAATTATGAGGGGGGGGGTTGTGCTGCAGGTAAATGGTGTGAACATTGAGGCTCTGAGGCATTCAGAAGTGGTGGCTTTCATCAAGAGCGGCGGGAGCGAGACCCACCTGCTGGTGGTGGACCAGGCTACAGACGAGCACTTCAAAAAACTGGGCATCACCCCAACAAGGAGCCACATTAAAGGTAAAGGTCTGAGGTCTCCACCAAAGTACCACGACAAGTTCACATGCACGTCTCATTAAGCCGACAGGGACCACAAGGAGCAGAAAACAAGTCATGAGCGCAAACCACAGGCTGGTGAATACGAGTGCCACACAACCCATGTGACAGCAGTGCAGCCAACCACAGTCCATATTCAGCGTCCTTAGCTACACATTAACCACTTTATGTTCCCTGCCAGATTATAGTGGCCAGGCCATTACAAACGGCTCCGAGAGCCTCCAGGTGAACGGCAGCTCCGCCTCACAGTCCAGTCGCTCCGACACCAGCAGTTCTGACAGACAGGTGAGAAAGGCCAGGTGCCGCTCTGCACTGGCTGCTGTGCTCCCTCTCTGTCACAAATGTGTCATTAGACACGCGCTTTGCTTAGCGGTTTTCCCTGCCCCGGTTTCCCAGGTGTTGGATGAGGATGAGAGCCCCCTCCTGGACCCGTTCGAAGAGAGTGGCCTCTACCTAAGCCCCACGGCTGCAGAGGCCAAGGAGAAGCTCCATGCCAAGCGCGCCAAGAAGAGAGCCCCTCAGATGGACTGGAACAAGAAGCACGAGATCTTCAGCAACTTCTGATCCACCTGCACCTCCACTTCCCATCTGGCCGGCAAATTTTCCCCCAAAATCCACAACTCCTGCCTCAGGACAGGACCACATCAAGAAGAGGGGTCAATCGTTTAGACAGAGAAGGAGGTGGGACTTACAACCACCACCCGACGGACAAAAGCAGGCTGGCGAGGAAAGAGCTGCAGGCGAGGAGACATTCAGCTTCCCGAGGCAGCAGAAAGCAGTGCCTGACAGAGTTATATCTAACGTCTTACCAAGTAATTTTCAAAGGTCTTTCCCTGAGGTCAACCACAGGTTATGGATTTCCAAATCAGATACAAGTCCCGGCCTGCCTTTAGAAAAATTACTGATTGAATAATTTTCTGCATTCATTTCTCCTTCTACTGACAAAAACAAAAATGACATGATCTGACTAGAAAACAAATGAAACGTTTTAGTATGCAGTTAAATTCAGTTCGCTTATGAGATCTATAATGTCTAAAGATGGATGTAAACAATGCACCCTAGACAGCTAGAGGGCGACAGTGAGATAGTTCAACTTGAGCCTGGTGTGTCATACCGAAAATGGAGAGGACTAGGTCAGAACTGTAAAGGAGAACCACACCCTGCCTTATACAACAGACCAGTAATACAGGAATGGCGCTTGGCTGGTGAAGGCCGTGTTTGTGTATCTTTAATGGGGTCCACAGGCTCTTTGTAGTTACATTTAGTAATGTCTTGTTGCCGCTGGCATGTTGCCACGGCGCACAAGCTGTGATGACGTTAAGGTGACGTGGGTTATGTCATGTATTAGCTGCTTGAAAGTAGAGTTTACGCAGCACTGTGACATATGAAGGTCCCTGTAAATATGTGACACCGTGCTGTTAAAGCATGTGAATGAGGTGCGATCCAGACTCTGCGTTTACACCCATAACTACCCAGAGGAGGCTGAGAGGGCCGATCCTTTTACAGAAAGACAAAAGGAGGAATATGCATTGCCTTTTTTATTACGGACCGCTCATATTTTATATGGACCGAGCGTGTGTTTAAAATGGCTAATTGACTGATTTTGCATGGAATGAGGAAAGGCCACACAGCAGAGGACCTTGTGGGCATCTGTGAAACACACACAGAAATGCAGAAGGCAGAGGACGCCTTCTAGTCGCTTACTTTAACTCATGTGGTCATCGCAGCCTGTGTTGCTCATTAACGCCTCACATGTAGCAGAACTGTGTCTCTCCCGCGTGTTCATGCTGTGGCTTTTGCAGGAACTGCAGAAAAAGGGCCGAGCACCACCAGCATCTGCGTTTCGGCCCCGAACGACCAAGTCAGTCTGGCTGTGTCACGTTGCATTTCCGCCGCTGTAGTTCATGTCTTGTTGCATTAATTAAATGTGCAGCTTGTTTTCCTCTCTCAGGCCTGCCACCATGATTGCGGCAGGTTTCTATGGCTCCTCCCTTACTGACCTCATTCAGTACTGATTCTCACAGAGTGCTGGTGGATGGGTGACAGTTCACACCACATTGCATTTTGTCAGTATAGTGTGACATCAGCTGCAGGAAGTCTCTCATTACCACAAATACACTCTATATATACAACAGTAAATATACGCACGCACACAGAGGCCAGGTCCACTTTTAGGAGCTGCAGATAAAGGCATAATTTCACGTTAAATTTGTCAGGAAGTCTTCAGAATATACACAGTACAAGTGAATGAGAACAACTAGAATAAATAAATAAACCTGCCAAGAAATCACTAACTAGTAAAAGCAACAAGATGATTAAGATAAAATGACACAACAACAGAATGACTTAAATGGATGTGTGGATGAAACCGAGTTATGAACTCAATTGCCTCTCCTTAAAAGGAGTGCTGTGACAGTCTCTTCTGTGTGAGTGACTTGATTTGAGCTGCTGTTCTGTAAGAGAGAGAGTGGGATGTGATTTCTCCAGCCAAACCCATACTAAGAAAGTCATTTAATTAATCTTTGTCCACACTCATGAAATTCTTTGAGAACTAGCTTAGACTTCAAATCATTTTAATTTGGTACATGCAACATCGTGTGATTACTCTCAGAAACTGTCAAAAGTCATCAATGAACCTGCAACCTGCAACCAGTTGCTCCCATGATGCCTCCTTCATCTGCTCCAGGTCCTCAGGCCAGGACAGATAAGAAGCCAGCCAGTCAGAGGTCAGGGTGAGGACTGGTAACTCCACAATACGTCCCGCTTCTCTTTTGCGGTTGTGCTGAGATGAGATCACAACCCTATAACTTCACAGTAATGGTAAAAGGTGACAGGAAACGAGAAGCTTTTCATAAGCCGGAAGATGACATAACACTTCTGTGTTCTAGTCTTCCTCTGGCCATGACTGAACAAAGGGAACTTCATGGATGTGACTAAGAAAACCGATGGCTGCGTCCTCTTCGGGGCCCCATTCTGCAGCAACATCGTCAAAATTCCTACAGCTTGCCCAGACCAGAGGTTTCATTCTCGAAAGACACATCACTCACTGCCTGAGATTACACCTAAGCCACCTAGGTCATAAATGAAAATGCATTCTACTGTATTAGTGGGTCCGACATATTGCAAGCTGCCACTATCTCTGCTTGCTATACAATTCCTGCCACTAGATGGTGTCAGAGCATGTATTTGTTGGTCTGAGGTAATGTGGGGCAAGTACAGTGGGAAGAGGACGTCCTGTTCTTGGAGTGCTTCAGTATGCCTCTGGCCATCGTCTGAAACACTGAATCCTTTCAAACGATCCTTTATTCCCTTCAGTGAACGTAAGGGGCACATACAGCGTTTATGTTTCACAACTGAAGAGACATCAAAAGGCTGGACAGCTGATGCTGAAAAACAAAGTATTCAAAAAAGTTGTACGGAGGTAATGTGTTGTGAAAATAATGTTCAAATGAAATTCAGAAATAAAAACTGGATGGGATACATGCATTTATAAAAAATACATTTAAAAATATACAATCGGGCACATCTATGGTGTCACTTTAAAAAGCGAGACAGTAGTGTGTAGTTTTTAAGCATCTGCAGGATAATACCCGAAAAGTTGGGCTCCTTTCTCGCATCTTCCCGACCACACCCTTACGTGCAAACTCACTCTGCAGGCACACGCATGCCGCGTCCACGGAGCAGGAGGAGGAGCTGCAGGTTTCCAGGGAGACGCCATGTTTGGTAACGCACGTTGAGTCAGAGGAGTGGTGAGTCAGAGTCAGGAGGGAAGCTCTCATCGCAGGCCGTTCTCACAACTGGAGCCAAATATGGACAGACATAAACGGAGCATGGAGATGGACACGGTTCACAAGCGGTGTGAGAGCGGACGGGAGACGGCTATGCCTAGCGAACATTCGGCAGATTTTTAGCCAAATGACAAGTAGTCTCACTCCTAGTGACTTTTCCTTCCATCCCATGGTGCAGTCCCTTCTTCCTCTACCATAAGAAATAGCTCCAGACACAGCAAGAGGCTACCTCTCATTCACACTGGGGGAGGAGGGGGGTTCCCTCAAGTTCAGCAGAGCACAGCCTCCCCAGAAGCACCAATGAACATTTGGGCCCGCCAGGTCACATACATCGATGCTGAGGGGAGTGTGACCCTGGGATGCAAGTGTTCAGACCCAGGAGGGCTTCCTGTCATGTCCCTGCTTCTCACATATGGTTTGGCCTGTTGGATACTCCTTCTAGGATCTACTGCATGTCGACTTGCTGTAGTCTGCCAGTGGCTGAGGCCCAGTCCTCGAGACGTTACATTACTCCTGAGGTGCCATCGCCCGCATTTCATTTTATATCTTGGCTGCCTAGGAGACCAAAGTCACTTATAAGGCCTAGAACCCATTTGTACTGCTCCGGGGTACAGCAGTAGGGCCCTCCTGGACCTGCAGTTACTGTGTAACATGACATCCTCGACATGACAGCTGCAGGTCCATCACATGACACAACCCTGCACATGACGGCTGTAAGGTTTATGCATTTACAATTATATCCTGGATAAGGACCACACACGGTTAACCGTTCCTTTTACTTTTTAATTTCTTCAACAAGAATTGCAATGAAAAGTCTGGAATTTTTTTGTTTAGCAGTATAATATTCTGTAACTCTACAAATTTTTTGATCCTGTCCAGCAGAATTTTTGCATTGGAGTCCGGGCTTGGACTTCAGTCGAGTCTTGAATCCACATATGAATGGACTCAGTCTTGACTCAGTCTCAAACACCCGGGACTCGAAAAATCTTCCCAAGTCTATGGAGTATGTCTGCAGTCTATATGCAGCTGAACCCCCCCGCGCTGGGTTTTTTATAGTAGCCTCAGTGTTTTTCAGTATTGTGCACCCACCCACACAGTTAACTCCCATCCTCATCATGTCTGGTTCCAGAATCAATGTCAAATGTGATCGGCACGACAGTCATGTTGCAAGGAAATTAATAATTACTACATGATGCAGTGGAGGTGTGTTTCTGTTTGATATATCATTCATTTCTGAGCAGAAAATAATAATTTCTGAGTTGGTGCTTATTTAAAATACATTATTTAAATGTAAAATTTGAAGCATTTGTTTTGTCTTCACTTCATAGTTTTAAAAATTCAGATTTATGGTCTAGAATTGAACTTGTGTTTTTCTGGGCTTGGGCTCGGCTGCCCAGCTTTGGTACTGGACCCGGTCTCATCTTGGTCTCACCCCCCTGTTGGACTCAGACTAGACTTGGACTACAGTTGTTAATAATGTGGTCTTGACTACTACTCGAATAAGGTGGTCTCGAACACAATACTGTTCTCCAGTGACTGTCTACTCTCTCAGTACCTCCAGGGCGGACACTGAAAATGGCTTCACGGCCATTTGGATGCATCATTTCAGACAGACAATAAATATAAACGCTGCAGCGGTATGCCAATTGCAATCCGATCTTGGCCCTGATTGCAACGTACAATGCAAGGAGCACGCAGCCAATCAGGCAGAGAGGGGCAACAGGGGGCAGTGGCTTATTGGCATCAAGGTTCTGTGACCCCACTGCAGCTAAAAGTAAAATAGAGAGGACGACCTACTGTGGAGGGTGAAAAAGTCACGGGTCAAAGGAGAAGCTGGGGCTAAGAACGCTGTGAATGATGTCTAGGTGTGCAGTCATAGTGTCACTGTGTCGGGGGGGGGGGCTGTATGACTCAGTTTTCAGACAGGCTTTGACCCCCTCCAAATGCCCCAAACTGATGACAGATTTTTAGGAGGGGAGGAAACACTTTCAGCGAGAGGAGGAAAGAGGTGCACACACGAATGGAGGGAGCAGAGTGGATATATTTAGAGGGAGGAGGCAGTGGGGGGAAAGGGAGGCCTGCTGTGGAGGGGCTTTTCCAGAGAAGTATATTTAGCCTCCACTTAAAAAAAGAAAAGAAAAAAAAAACAGCATGTACAGTAGTAACTGCTGGGAAAGAATCTGATGTAACACACTGCAATAAAGGCACATGCACACGCATGCACTCTGGCTCACAGCACGCACACTGGAGGTTAACAATGCCCTCAGTGCGTGCAGCTCTCAACCCCATGTCGTAAAACACAACAGACCCTGCCGGACGCATTTTCTGCCATTAAAAAGCAGAAATAAAACTGCTGTGGTTTAAACACGTAAAACAGAAAGACATTATACCTCCCAGAAGTAGTATTTTATAAAGGATTAACTTTATAAAAGTTAGAGGTAAAATCACAACTTAAAACAAAAGTTTGCGAAGCGGCACTAGGAAAGACAGCATAGCCACACGCTTGTGGCGCAGAGACGAGTGTCCATGCTGGAGGGGGAGAGCGAGTGCATGAGAGCGGGAGCCGCGCTGACGCCATTTGTGGTTCTGATCACACTTCCTGTCTGCTGTACTGTTTGTGTGTCTTGTCTCCATGGCGACTGCCAGCTTATAAATACCAGGGAGAAGGAGAAGGAGAGAGAGTGAAAATAAGGACAAAACCATTACCACTAAATGGGACTGGACCCAATCTGGGCCTCTTGATTAAGTACAGACTGCTCTGGACCATGCTCTGCGGAGACAGGAAGCTGAGCTCACATGGCCAGGACTGAGAGGGACTCAGACTAGTCTGAAAAAGCCCAAAATAAAGAGGTGATGATATACCTACAATCCAACATTTTCATCACAGGAAGTGCTGTTCCGGGGAGGGGATGGACCTTCAGCTCAGTGTTTCCTGTTTCATACACATGAATAATTACTTCTATGTTGCCATGACAACCCGAGGGGTTTTTGCAAGCTCTGGATCTGAGATCATAGATGGTTATAGATGTGTGAGTCACTGTCTATGAGGCGAGCGCACTGACACGGGCCCCGGCCATCACACCGCAGGCCTCAGAGAGCGACCTGACCCCTAAGAGCCACGCACATACAACTGCACATCCAGTAAGGTTACTACACAGCAGACACACACCTGGCAGGGGCAATGGTGTGACACAGCAGGGACACATTTACGCACGCCTGTAAAATGAACAGTCATCAATATTAAATCACAGACACAAACGAACAAAACTACCTCCAGCACCAAGCCAGACACCCGATTTGGGTCTCTTACAGGACTTTGTAGACATATACTGCATGATTCCTTATTAAATTATATTTGAACACCATCATTAGTACAAGCCAGTAAATATGCATCACAGTGAGTATAAATGGCTTCCCGCTTGATCTTCAGTAAGACATAAAATAAAAGTTCTCCTTCAAAATACAATAAACTTGAGAGTACCACCCCAGGTGACCCAGACACACCGAAGTGTGTACATTTGCCCCAAAGCGCATCTTTTAAGAGGCTGTATGACCCACATGCATGCACTCACACGACTACGCCTCCCAGAGCCTGTGTGTGCATGTCAGCCTGTTGCCAGGAGACGAGAGATGTGTGCGGTGTGCGTGTGTGTGAGGAATGTGTGACGCGCTCACTGTGCTTCGGAGGGGTGTGGCCCACAGAGCGGGCTCTTTTTCTCACAAGCCTCGAGGCTCGTGGCCGGATGGGAGGAGGTCATGGAGAGCAGGAGAGGTGGGGGGTTGGGGGTGCAGGGTCATAAAACACCTAATAGCGCATCCATTCATTGGTCTGCAAGCAAGATGACGGCTCAACATGAAACACACCTAGTTTAGGCTACATATAGTCAGAATTAAACGTACTGTAGATAACGACTGCCAGTCAGATCAAACGTACAGCTTAAATGAATACTGACATCAAACAAGTCATGACAGTAGAATATCTTGTTAATCAAGTACCATGACATTAAGTACTATGTTTTTCTTCCCTCATGTACATAAAAACGTATAATTAAACCTGACTCATCTGAAAACACACATAAAACCACCTCTCCTATTATATTCAAAGTATAAACAATAATATTGTTAGAATAGGTGCAAAAAAAGTAAAGGTTGAATTAAGGGGGGAGTTGCAGGACAGCCTGAGGCCCCCGTGCATGATAGGGAGCCGGAGGGGAGGTCAGACTGGAGCTCTGCAAACAGTTAGACTTTGTCTCGCTACAAAAAAAAGAAGAAAAAAAAAACGGAGCCCTGCCCTTCTACTCCCAGCTGTGTGGCTCTGTGGCCTCCCTGCCCCTTCCTGTGACTCGCCGTCCCAATGAGGGGAGGATGTGGGCTCTGACGCCGACAAAAAGGAATTCCCTCCTCTGGCCGGGAGCTCACTCTCGCCCCGTCTGGCTCTCCGGTGCGCACTTGCCTGCCGTCTGGATGGAAGAAGCTCAGAGGAGCCCAGCGGGGTTGTGGCCATGGAATCTATGAGCTAGCCGACTGTGGGTATGTACAGCGTGAAAACGTGTGCAGCCTTAACATCGCTGAACAGTTCCAGTGAGTAGCTTTTCTAGAAAAAAACTTGGAGGTTACAGTGGTTTTCTGTTGTTTTGGTTTTACTTATCAGAACATCTGTACTTTCATGAGAGTTTAAAATACTAAAATA